ATGCAGTCCAAAAGGTGCGTGTTGCTAATCACTGTCATGTGACTTGAAGCAAGAGCCATGCAGTCCTAAAAGGTGCGTGTTGCTAATCACTGTCATGTGATGCAAGAGTCCTGCAGTTGCAAGTACTATAAAACCCTTAAAATATAAATAATTTTTTAATTGGCCCCCCGGGCCGCTATTTAAACCCAAGAATAGTTGCGCTGAATCAGAGCATGTGCGCGAGTCTCTACTAATGAGAGTGAGAATGGCACGTTGTCACAAGTTGCCGTGGCTATGTGCACCAACTGCAAGCCCCAACCCGAAAAGCATGGGATCCACTTCCTATGCAGCAGGCCAATGGGTCCATCTTCGTCGTCTGTCTAGCCTACCGGCTGGTTGGCAGGAGCGGGACGTGATAGCACACGGCCAGAGTCAAAGCCATGCATGTGCTGTCCTGAAAAGGAGTTTTATAGCGAAAAGCGGCTCGGTGAATTGTGGTGTCCGATGAATTTGCTATAGCTGCCCGTGAGAAAAAGCTGCGTCTGCTTGAGGTATGCCCGACCGTACTACTGGTCGTTCGGCCGCAAATGTTGTATTGTGATTTCATCGTGGGGCTCAAAACCATGAGGCCACTTTCTTGAGCATCAGGTGCGTTTTTTGCACGTTGGCTAGGCATCAAGCGACTAGCACATCACAGTGGCATCCGCCCGAGGTCGTGCAGGCCGCGGTTTGCTTTCACATCAACTATCTCCAAACACTAGAAATAGGCTCCGACTCTGGCTAATTGCATGAAATACTGTAGAGTTTTCTGATTGGCTTGTGGTTACGGCAAGCTGTCAGCATGCAGTTTCATATTGGAGAGTCAGATCTAGGATGTCCAAGCGTGACGTCGGGCAACAACGTAACACCCCCCGCGACTGATGTCAACCGCAAAATCTTCGTTTACAAAAACACGAGTTGTGAGCTGCTTTTGCACCCACGGGAGTAGATTCTACTTGTGTCGCTGGTGAAAACCCGGAAAACGTCAACAAGGATAACAAGCTGCTGAATCGATAGTCCTCCTTGTGTTGCTGCCAGAGACCTGCGCAGGTCGACAGCGAGAAATCGGAGCACAGCCTTGAAAGCACCGCGAAGGGGCAAGGGCGAGCTTCCGAAAATGTAACACAGAAGCCTGGAACGGTGCCCGACAGCCAGTGGAAGGCCTCCAGGGCGCAGAAGTCAGCTGCAACAACAGTGTCGCTTGCTTCCCCCCGCGAGCATCAGCTGATTGGTGTTTGAGGTGGTGTGGAGTGAAGAGTACGGCAGGAATTATTATTGGCCCATTCCCCAGATTCTGCTGGGTTATGCATGGTTATGCCTTGCGCCGACGACGGCAAACTCCCAACTCGACCGTCGTGCGACGGTGTCTTGGCAGGCATGTGCCCTCTGGCCGGACCACGTGGGAGCGGCCATCTGACATGCCGATCGATGCAGGCAGAGTTGTGCAACTGCGTATGCTGTGTTGCACAAGAGTTTGTCGATTTCACTGCCAAGAACCTCCATTTTCTTTTGCAGAAGCACAAAGACTGAAGCACGTCATGGCGGCGGGCCGGGACATCCTGCACGGGGCGGGATGCTTACATACATGGACGTAGAAGTTGCTTTCGTGCCCTGCACCCGCAGAAACCAAAAGTGTTTGCAGTGTGCAGCATCAGGCAACAGTGGGAGAGGACGTTTTGCGCTAGTCACTAGCTAATCGGCCGATGTCATGAGTTCTCTGCGCGCAAATCCTTCGTTGTCAGGAGATCCAGAGCAGTGACGATCTACAGGTTGTCAAGGAAGTCCGGGGATGGGGGCAGGACGTGTTTTTCCTGGCAGATCGTGTCACTGAGTGCACATGGCAGGAGCTTTTGAACTACCATCCCGATGTGACGCGCAAGATTGGTGGGGGGCTTCGGTCAATCAAGGCAAGCCAGGGATAGCAGCATCAAAAAGCAGACGCCATGTGCTTGAAGAGTTCGTCTAAATGTCAACCAGGCGCACTTCACGACTGTCACTTGTTCATGTCGTTTGCAGCAACTGGAAATGAGCAGGTAGATTTCGCGCCACCACCGAATCAACAGCATCGCTGCTTTTGGGTAATTCGGCTAGATGGTTCCCAGGCGCGGTTGCCTTGCTTCCGACGAGCCGTTTACAGCCAAGCACCGATTCTGCCAGGAAGACTTTTCCGCACGAAAATGTCGTGATGCAATCCGTCGAAGCCCCAGTGTTCACATTTTGATATAGCCGAAGGGAAGGCCACGATAGGTGATGCTTGTTTGTTTAGAAGCGAGTCTGTTCCGCTAGTGTTTCAATTCCTCACTAACCGTCATTTACCCTCCTGAAATCTGAAACTCTCCAAAACCAAAATCCAAAAAACAGCTGGTCAGAAAGAAACAATCCCAAAGATGCGAACTGCTTGACTGCCGAATCTGCGAGCACGCAGGTCGGGAGTTGCGCGCTGCTGGCCGCAGGGTGCCGGCGGAATAGATTTAAAAAGGACACATGGATGGATGGATGCATCGGGTTTGCATGTGATGGAAGCGCTTGGCAAGAACGACAGTTCTGTGGCATGTGCAGTTTTCAGTCTCGACTTTTCCTGAGTAAAGCAAAGGCAGCAACAAGTCTACGGCGAACAAATGAAAAAGAAAGCACTGAGCACGGCAAGTCATCAAGTCTTCTTCTGCAGAGTTGAGCACAAGTTCGGTGTTGCAAGTGTTCGTCGCAGCCAACGACAAGCACCGCTTTGCGTGAATGGCCGCGGGATGGGGAGGAGGCGCTTGCCTTTCTTGATTTGTCATGGTTGTGATTGCGGGTCATGCGACTTATAGAGTCAGCGCCAGCGTTCAGAACAGCAGCCAGTAGTTCGGTAGAACTTCTTGGTGTAGCTTTACAGTGCACGTGTGCCATTCCATGTATGTGACTATCCTCAAGTAAACCACGAACAGTACACGCGGTCAGTAGCTCAACCACGAGTTAGTCGTAGCTTGTCCCTGCCCGATACGTTGGTCATATTCGGGGACCGTTCGTGACTTACGTACAGTATCGATTCTGCAGGAAAGACTACTTTCGGAGATTCTGGATCCATCGTAAACATCACCACGCTAAGACCACTGGCTTCAGGATGGAGCTACTCGCCTGGCTGGGGGTCACGATGGTGGGACCAGGCCGGGGTTGGCTTAGAAGCGCATAGCAATAACAACAGCAATGCCACCAAAAAGCCATCAGCTTCTTGCGAGGGCTCTTGGTGGCAAGGCAGCAGTCTCAGGTTCTTGAGGCTTTGCCACATGCCCAGCCATTCACAGCAGTGTTTACCCTGCTCCTTCTCGAAAGGACGGTGGAGTCAGGATGAGAAGGTGCCCTGGGACAGAGCTGAGCCGAAGGAGGAGCCCGGCCCGGAAGGAGACAGGCCGAGTGAGAGGCCTGAGGGCTGGGGCGGCTGGAGCAGCAGCTGGTACGCGAGACCATCCTGGTCGAGCTGGTCTTGGTCTTATCCCAGCTATGGCTATTCGAACTACGGTTACTCCGGCTATTCCGGATGGGGTGACTGGAACCGACCTGATGCACCAGTCGAAGCCAAGCAAGACGACAGCCAGAGCCGACAGGAACGCTGGAGCCAGGCCTTTGCAAAGGACAGGCAGGAATTCCAAGACGGAGACTGGTGGAAAAGCGAACGGGAAGAGCAGCCCAAGCAGGAACAAGGGACCCCAGAAGCGAAGCAGGACGGGGAAGGAGGCCAAGAGTCCAAGTGGGTGCCGCCTTTTGAAAGTGGCAGCCAAGAAGCGAGTGAAGCGCAGCAGGCAGTGATCCACCGTCATGTCCTTACTCGATTCACACCTGCATGTCACCCGAGAACTCTGCAGGCTTCCTCCGATGCTGTTCAGCCAAGTCTGGAGAGCCAGAAGCCTCGAGACGAAGTCGACAAGGACTCATGCCAGACAATTGTGGATGCACGGTGTCAGAAAAGTAGGCAGAAACACAGAGAGAGAGAGAGAGAGTTAACGGACCTGAACCTGACTAGCAGAAGGAAGGAAGGAAGAAGGAAGAGAGCGAAAGAGAGAGTGAAGCTCGGCAGTTCCTGAAAAGCTGGACCAAGGTAGCTAAGCCTTTTCTAGATCATTGCAGAGTGACCGCGGGCCAGCAACCATGGAAGGAGAGCAGCCGACCTGCCCACGAAAACGAGGAGTGGTATCAAAAGTGGCTTCTCCGTCAGAAGGAAAAGGAGCAAAGCGGCTGCTAGACATTCACAGCACGAGTTGTTTGTCAAGTCGGAATCAGATGAGCTGAAGGTGTTCAGAGTTTCTCTTGCGATAATTTGCCCATGCTGAGGCGCACGGGCAGAAGCGCAGACTGAGAGCTTCGTCACGAAAGCAAAGAAGGTGGAAGTAGACGAGGTGTGGATTTATGCATCTATATGCCACAGAGTCACACTGAGAGCTGTGCATGGCGTTGTGTCCCGTGTTGATCCCTGCCATAGGTCCAGGTGCCAGAGGCGGTCGCTGATTCCGACACTCACCCAGCGCCCGCTCTGGATCAGGACCCCCGACCAGACACCTTGTTGGAGCTTACCCCTTCAAGAACATTCCATACTTTCTTCTGTATCTCCTGTCAGCAGGAGATGTCTTTCCACAGCATGCCAGAGCCAGAGAGCGCGCCAGCGAGACACCCGCACGAGAATGAAGAGTGGTACCAAAAATGGCTACGACGCCAGAAGAATCAGCCCACTCACGTGATCGACATTGGCCTCGCCTGCTTGTCTTGACTTGTGGCATGTTGCGATCTCTTACGAAGCAACATGGTCTTGACAGGTGCTCCTCAACCTCAGGCTTCGACGCAAGATGTGGCAGCGAGCAGCTCTAGCGATCCGCAGGCCTCGTCGTCCGCAACCGGGCGGGCACATGTAGCACGACACGAAGCCATTTTCACAGAATCGACCAAGTATCGCTTGACTTGAGATGCGTGATCATAACCTGCGTTCATTGATGCGGTATATGCGGCTTTTTGTAGTGATGTGGAGGCTTCCAGCTCTAGCAGCACGGAGGTTCCTCGGCATTGCGAGTGCGCATGCAGGCTCATTGTGGCCGTCCTTGGGGAACTGGAGTCGGAGTTGCTTTGGGGAAGTCGGGATTAGGATGCCAACGATGGGGGCATCCAAGGAGAAGCGGCTCTGTCCAGATGATGGGAAGACGTACACTTTTGATGAGTTGAAGAAGGCATACGCCGGATCTTTGGCGCCACAAATGTCCCGCGATGGTTCATGCTTGTTTCGTCTAAGTTGAATCCCCTCTTTCCGTTTGCGCAGATCGCGCCGGCATCTGTAAGGAGAGTACTCTGACGAAGACTTGAAGGCATATTGGAGAGATGCCATGGCCCCGCCGGGAGCTCCGGTAGAAAAGCCTGCGGAGTCCAAGAAGGAGGCGACTCGAATGCACTCAGAATAAACGAAGCATCTATGGTTCATTGGTCGCCTCAGGATCACCCTGAACCCTGTACCTTCCTCACCTACTGCAGTTTGTCCGAAAGTGAGCTTCGTCGTGACCATCGTAATTTCAGGATTACAAGCAGGAGGAGTGGTACCAGATGCTCATCTGAACAAGGGGCTGGCAGCATCGACACAGCGTCATCCCAATAAGCAGCCGCAATTGTGTGTCCAAGGAAATGGCTTCGTCGACAGCAGAACAAGAATAGACAGATCATTGAAATTGGTTAACTTCTTACATAGCCCTGCCGGGAGTGACGAAAAGTGTTGCACTAATGAGTTGGAGAAGATCGGGCACCATCCACTTGCACGAGCTGCTGCGTGAGAGCCTGATCAGTTGCGACGGGCTTTTGATTACTCAAACTTCCCGGAGGCATGAAGAGGGCCCGACAGTCGGTAAGGCAGATGAAACCAACCCAAATTACCGGGCATAATTATGGTGCGAGCATCATGTGCCACGGCATCTGAAAACGAACAGGTGTGTAGAAGCACGTGGTACACCTTAATTACACTAGCTAATAGCCGCACAAGTGCACAACATAGTCTCAAGCTCTTTTGTGTTGGATGCAGCCATGGACGATCTTTCGGGTAAGCGCGCTGATTGCCCGACACTAAGACGCCACGGAGCAGACCATTGCCAGCGTCAAAGAGCTCGCTGTTGAACTCTACCGAGGCCCTGGCAGCTGCCGCAGAGGCGATACATCGGCTTTTCGATGCGAGAGACACGGAAAGATGCTTCAAACGTGGTTTGCAGTAGATGTGTGGTCGTCAAGCGCTCAGGGCTCGAGGTCAGGTTCGACCCTGTAGCGCCTCCCTCAACAGCAGGTTGCAGTTTGTAGTGGGCATCAAGACGTGAATGACCTACAGTAGACCCCGAACCCCTAAGCCCGAAACATCCCGAAACCCTACCCAGCAATGCCTGCGAACAGCCCAAGCCAGGCCTGCGCCATCGCGCGAGTTGTCAGCATTGCGAAGCAAACGCGCTGGGCCGCTTGCTGTGGTCGTACAAGCGCGTGCATAGGCCATCGTAGGTTGTTAGGGTATACCTTTTCGGGTTTAGGTTTAGGTTTAGGGTTTAGGGTCTAGGGTTTAGGCTTTAGGGTTTAGGGTTACAGCAGGCTAGGGATCCAGGTAAGTTACGGTGTTGCGGGGGCGTTGATGCGAGGTGCGCTAGGCCGACAGTCAGTTTTTCTTCACAAGTGTACTGCAGGCTGACGGCTGGGCATCATTCTTCGTCTCTGGCCGGCCCATCAGCAGCTGGGCTCAAAGACATACCCAGATTTTACGGCAGCTGAAAATGTCGGGTTGGTCTGGCAGAAAGTGGAAACGGTGCTGGCAAAGATTGTGACTCCGTCGTTGCACACCGATTCATGTACCTCTTCTTGCCTTGGCACTCGGTTGCCTGCACAAGTAGGCTAGTCACACAGCATGTTCTGTAGACTTTGCGTCGTGTGGTCAGTCACCACTGTAGGCTTCTTTCCTCGCAGAGGTGTGCTAGCCTCAGCTGCAGATGGAGCTGTCGCTCCCTCCGCAGATTCACTCCAGCCTCGTGTCGGGTTTCGAGGTCAACCTGGTGGCCATCAATGCTAGCACTGAGGAGGCTTCATGGGCTCACCTGCAATTTTTGCTTCAGACCTGACGAACTGGACTTAAGCGGTTGACAGTTGACAGAACTGGCCTGGAACACAACGCTCGCCGTTTCGTGGTTGCCGTTGCGATCTACAGACTGTGCTCGCTGGCAAGGAAACGATTCCATGGGACGGAATGTCTCACGGAAATGCAACTTCATGAATTCGTTAACGTAAGTCTTTCGCCGCGGTGGGAGAGGCTTTTACGGCCACAGGCTTTGCTTTCTGCGCCACAACATCTCGCAGGTTCTCTTCGCCAGATCTTTCGATGAGAGACACCCAGGCCAACTCAAGAAGGCCGCCCTCAAGCGACAAAGAAAGGGTATACGCAGATCCTCTCCATGCATGTCGCATCTTCAGGACTTGCTTGACCTCGATCTGGACACTGTTCCACTCTCAGTTGTACCAAATCAGTCCAATGTCAACAGTTTGCAAATCCGCTGTTTGTCAAAGGTAGTGCTCATCGCGCTCAAGGGCAGAGCAGACCAGGACCATGACTAGCAAAGCATGATGATCACCACAACCAGAGTCACCAGCATCTCTTCCACAGAAGATCTTAGCAAGTAGGGGAAGCAGCGGTTAGTGACAGTGAGGTCGTCGTCCTTCCAGGATTCCAGTAGGGGAGGAACATTAAGCAGTGGTGGCAGTGAGTTCAATAGCGGGAGTGGTGGCGGTGGTGCTGGTGGGGCTGTGGCTTTGGTGGTGGTTCTTGGGGTGCCCACGGGTAGCTAGTAGAGATAGTGGTGGTGGTGGTAGCAAGTCGTTTGCAACACTCGTAGCAGCAGAAGTCCCCAGGTGGTAGGTGGCAGCTCCGTGTAGGTGGTCGGCGGGAGTTAGTAATCAGTTGGTAGTTCGTAGTTAGTACTGCAAGTTTGTCTTCTTGCGCGACGACTAAGTCTAAGTCGCGCAGAAGGCGGAGAAATAGCAGAAATGAAAGTCCGGTCGTCGCCCTCGACAACAGCAATTCCTGGGTTTGTGCATGAGTGAGGAGAGCCTTCAAGCCTTGTCCTTGGTCCACGCACGACTATACCCAGTTCTTGCTGAGGGAGAAGGTGCATCTGCACAGGGAACATGGTCTTCCCTTTGCCGCTTTGTTTGCTCGTGAGTGCATGTCGTGCGTTCGCTCGCGAAGGCCTGCATGCAAGCCAGACAGTTCTGCTTGTTATTGAGTCAGAAAAGGTGATTTGTGATCGTTCTTTAAGGCGCCAGGGCATCAAGAATAGTTGGTTTCTAGAAGTGGAGAATCTGCTGTTGCCTGGGCCTGAACCCTGGCACGTCCGAGTCGCTGTGAAAACCTCTGCGTACGGCTCAAGTTTCGTTCGGTCTTTTGTTTCGGGGAGACCTTAGATTCTTACTTCGTGAGCAAACAACGTGCGCCTGTTTCTCCGTGTACCTCGTGCGAGAGCAGTCGGCACAGAAGCAGCACACTTGATGCTCGTTTCATGTTAAAAAGCAGGGCCTTCTCGCTGGAGCTTCATGGAGCAAGATGCACAGCGAGCAAGGCAGAGCGAAATCCGCCGGGAGTCTGACTTCGCTCCCTCGCATTATTTGAGGCTGCTGAAGACTCACAATCCCAATTTGGCGAGGTTGCCTGCAACGAGAAAACCGAAGAGTGGTCGGAATAAAGGGCCGCCACAGCTACAGCCCCTAGGTGAGGATCGCAAGGACCGTAAAGACACAGAGAATGATCACCCCCATGTCGGTGCACTCACAAGCCGCTCGGAGCGCCGCTCAGAGCAGGATGTGCCGATGCCACCACCAAGCGCACAGAAGAGCCGCAGTTTAGGCGGAGGAGGAGGCGGTGGAGGCAGCGGAGGCCGAGAAGAGAGGTTCGACGGTCGAAGCCTAGCGGCCGTCGGCTTGACCGAACTGGCGGCAACGGAACAATGTCCTCACTGCTCTCGCAGGTTTTCTCGAGAGGCCGCAGCTCGACATGTCCCGATCTGTGCAGGCATCAAGTCCCGACCGAAAGCTCCGAAGGAACCCATGGTATACTTCACAGATGCTCTTGGGCGGAGACAAGCCAGTCCTAAAGCCGAGGCTTTTTCTAACCCTAGCACGCCAAGCAGTTCACGGCGGCCCCGAGCAGTCTCACCGTTCCAGTTTCCGACAGAGATCTCGGAGACCACAGAGAGCCGAGAAACTCTGAAGCAACAGTGGTCCCTCGCTCAGTTCCTCTTGCGTGATGGCCTCGAAGCAGTGGCGAGTGACTCTGCCATCATGCGGACGGCACGTGGAGCCCAAGACTGCCTGGAGTTCTTAGATATCTTGGAAGAGTGTGCCGGAAAGCTCGGAATGCGCACAGGTGCGTTGTCCCGAATGCTCCTGCCTTTCAACTCGGAAACGGACTCCGGCGACCAGGCCAACAGTGCTCTTGAGGCACCGCTTGGTAGCCCCGAGCTGGAGGGCTTGCTATCGGACCGGGAACGACAGGAGCTGGTTCAGAGAGCTGTGACCCTTAGAAGACTTGTGCGTGTGAAGGTCGCGGACTGCGCAGATGTGCAACAGGCACGCGACTCCTTACAACTTATAGCCAACTTCCTCAATGCCCTTCGAAAGACCGCAGAGGAAGAGAAGCGATCTTTGACCTGTATTCTTCGGGAGCTATGAACGGGCATAGCATGGGCTATCCTGGGATAGGCAGGGCAGCTGTAGCATTTAAGAGGTGTGGAAGTCACAAGAAGACATCCATGCTTGTAATGATACAAAGACCAACCGAAGCCGCACCTGGCATGCCCCAGATGTGAGAGTCAAAAGCGCTTGCTCCATGTGGCCCTTGACAAGGTCACTCCTTGTGAGGGCATTCTTGCAGTTCTTCAGGCCAATCAGATTGTGAACATCTGCCACTTAGCTGCTCGCAGGCTATGCCTTCATTGGTGGCCGCGAGGCAGCACCGACGGCAGAGGACCTTGGCCAAGTGGCAGATGCCGCGGACTCGGGGCCGGGGGCCAGGGACTTACAGGTTGGTGTTGATCATTGTCGATCAACTTTGTGTTCAAAGGCTGATTAGGACAAGGCCACAAGCTTGCAGCGGTCATGAAATACCTGTAGCCTATGGCATGCTCGGAGTGCAGGGTTGCACTATATACCGTAGATGTCTTCACAAAGCCTCCCGCAAAGTTGGCTGCAAGGTTTACACCGTAGGCAAGCACAAGGGACATGACATGAACTCTTGCAGCCAAGCAAGCCTAGACATGCCTTGCTTTGCTTCCCTTTCCACCCCTGCAGTCAAGAATACGCCAAGAATCTCTAGAGTGTAGATTGATTATCCTGCTCTCCACAAGAGGCCAGAGTTCCCCCGTGCCCAACCAAGACTCCTCGGGCTATTTTTGAATTCGGCCGCAAGATGCCACCAGGCACAAAACCCAGCGCCCTGTATCAGCTCAATTCCTGCACATGGTCCACTGGTGAACATGCTGCCGATGGTGCGCAGCACGCGGCTTGCAGCTCCCAAAGCTTGCAATCTCAGGCCAGGACAATAGGCACAGAGGGGCATTTTGTAGGCTTTTGAAGTTCTACTCATTCTGTGGCCTGTGCAGGTGCTTCTTGGTGATCTTAGCAGCCTCAGGCGAGCGAATCGCCGTCACTGTTGATGAAGCATAGCGGTCACGCAGCTCTCGGCAAGAGCAGCTCATGACTGCAGGACATGTCGTCGCCCGACCCGGGTGTTTCTGGAATTGTTTAGCCTGCAGGCCTTGCGGCATCCTCTTTGGAGTCCTCCTCAGCACCTGCTTTGCCGCCGCTTTCTTTGGACAACTTTGAGGATGACGACTGTATCGAGTCTGGCGAGTCAGATGTGCTCCTGCAGCTTGGCGAATGGATAGAACCAAGTTTTCCTCTGTCACATTTTCCCGGGCGCTCCAGCGAGAACCCTGATAGCATGCGAGACAGCAGGGCGAAGCCCTGATAGATGGAGTCTAAACTTGCCTGACACGCAAGATAGCAGAGAATAGAACTCCATCGACGAGCCAACACAAGCTATGCATCTCTAGCCGCGGGAGTGGAACTCGCAGCTCAGGCACTTGATGCATGAGCTGGGCGGTGTCCTGGAGCAGGTTCTGACCAGCATCACGAAAGGCATTGCGGAGGAGTGGGAATCGTTGCTTCGGCCTCCCTTGCTTTGCTCGGGCAAGGATGTCGAACATGCATGGCTCAGCTGTTCACTCTTCAGGTATTCAAGTGCTGTATGCTGGGAAGTCGCTTCTCAAGCTTGTTCTGCCGTCACGTCAAACCTGCCATGGATTTCGACGAGCTGGAAGAGCTAGAGCGGAAGCGGGGCGCTAGTGCTCCAGCTGCTTGACAACACTGGTACTTGCGGAATGGGGCTACCTCTGAAAGGTGAAGTACCAAAGGGGATTACCAGGGGGGGAACTACTGCATGCATGAAAGCAAGGCGATTGTTGCGACCCTACAGCTGCCAAGGTTTCTCATGCTGCAGAGCGGATCGGGGAGCAGTTTTTGCATGCAGCAGGGGCCAAGACCTTCCAGGACGGTGGATGAACTGATGATTAAGGAGTGGCTCTTTCGATCTCCTGATACCTCGCAGATCTCAAACACGTAGTCCTTTCGTTGCTGCCGATATAGTGGTGCTCTTTGCAAGCATATGCAGGTCAGTCGCTCGATGTGTTTCTAAGTTTTTGCAGCCATCGATGGCAGGTGTGGCTTGAAACCCATGCCGCTGCGAGAACACACCTGCATGGCTACATTAGGCTAGCTGTGCACAGTAAACACCTGAAGCAAGCCTGAACTGCCTGGCAGACATGACGTCAGAGTTGGTTGCAGCCAAGCAGTCCTAAGCAAGCTGCGCGAACCGTAAAGCATGAGTAAGGAGCTGCAGGACAAGAAGCAGCTTGAGCCTCTTTGCAGCACAGGCTTCGGACGGGACCAGTTAGTAGTGGAACAAAGTTTTTTCATGTTTTTCTCAGAACGAATGGAAGCCGAAGGCTAGATAAAGATGGTGCGATCTAAGAATCGCGTCAGTGCAGCTGCCCGAGCTCTCCGACCTCCCTTTTCCGTTGGGAGATCTTCGCGGCTTGGAGATGCTTCTGGTGAGCCGCTCGAACGTCCGTGGCCTTCCCTCGAGCATTGGCCACAGGGCTTGCAGAAGACTAGGCACAAGACACAGAAACCAGCAGGCGCAGAATGTAGGTGAGCCACGGTGCACATAAACCTAAGTAGGAATAAATAGTAAGTAAATGGAGAGTAAGTTTATTTGTGTTTACAATACGTGCATAGCATATACATATATATATATATATATCTACATGTACATATATACATACATGCATACATACATACATACATACATATATATATATATATATATATTGATATGTATATATGTATAGAGAGAAAGAGAGAGACTCACGCAGACAGCTGTACAAATATATACACATATACGGTTGCATATGCGTGTGTACTAGATATGGCCATACAGATATATAGCATATACATATATATATATATATATTTATTTATTTATTTATATATTTATATGCACTGTAGACAGGGAGAGGGAGACTACCGCAGGAAAAAGCAAGAGAGAAATCAAGGCTGCACGTACATGCCCGTTGCACGGGTACTTGCAATACCCATCAATCATTCTATGTGTGTAATTGTGTGTATGCACCTTTCAGTGGACAGGCAAGTAAGCGGATCGGTAGGCAAGTAAGTCGTAAGCAAAACAAGCAGGTACACATCCAAACGATGGTTTGCGCTGAAGATTGGCCCTTGTGTTGTACATCCCAGAAACCCATGGTATTGAGAGTTGATCAAACTCCTGTTGCGAATGGTATCCAACATCCTGAATTCCTGTCCCTCTCAGGCGATCTGAGTGGCCTCCAGTTCCTGGATGTCTCGGACTCTCGTCCTGGAACGAGTGGAGCAATCTGCATTTAGCTACCGCCTGTAGGGTTCATCGGCATATTTGCCACAAGGCTTCTAGGATCAGTGCTCCGTGCCATTCCTGAATTCTTGAAAGGCCAATTGCATCGAGATCTTGCCAGAGACGATCCTCAGTTTGAAATCTTTGACACATCTCAATATCTCCGACAACAAGTTGCTGGGAAGAATTCATTCTGTTTCTTTCTTATCGTAGGAGTTCTGCGGGAGGTATGTTGACGCCAGAGTGAAGAGCTGTTGTGTCTAAATCGAGGCTTGACAAGCTGCCGTCTCCTTTCGGGCGCTTGACAAGTTTGGTTGTGTTCCTTGGCATGGCTGGTCAGGCCGTGTAAGCAGATGGGAAAAAGCTTTCAACAACTCGATGCCGAACTCGTGGAGATCAGACTTCTTCGACTCAGGGTTTCCACTCCGTTTGGACATGCGAAACGCAGGTTCAATGCCAAGAAAAACTTGCTGCGCGAGGTTCCGGCTCTCTGCCAGCATTGGGTTTGAGTTGATTGTTGATGCAATCGCGAGCTTGTAATGGTCCATTCTTCCCATGCTTGAGACGGCAAGTGTCGAGGAGGACATCGACGAATTACCCTTGGAAGACTTGGACATGACGGACAATCGACTGGAGAGCCTGCCGATGAGCATTGGTCACCTGCCACGGCTGCGATCGTTTTGGGCTGCAGGAAACCAGGTGCCCCGAAGATTCCAGCCTGGCGGGGCCGTAAGAACTGGAGATACTAGTCCTAGAGTTAACGTGTTGCTTGTCGGCCGTTCGTGGTTGGCTTCATTGCCTGCAAAAGGTCGCCCAGCTGCCGCCCGACTTGGGCAAATGCCTATGTTTGCGAGGGGTGCAACTCGCACATAACATGCTGGAGGCTCTTCGTTGACTTGCTTCACAGAATAAACAGCCGGCCTTGCCTTCTCACAGGCTCTGCCATCCGAAATCTGCACCTTGACGAACCTGCAATATCTGGATGTTGCCCACAACTGGATCATGGAGCTACCGCCCCTCGAGAACCTCACCGGATTGCAGACGCTGGATGTGGGTAGCAACTGCTTGGTATCACTGAACTTCGGGGTGATTCCCTCCTTGCGCAAGCTGCTCGCACCCGACAATCGGAGCCTTCGGCTGAAGTGAGCTGGTACGTGGCCGTCTTAGTCTTAATACTAATACTATTGCGAATACTGATATTAATACTATCAATACTAATACTAATACTAATAATAAGACCAATACTAATACTAATACAAATACTTACTACTGCTAAGAAAGCAACAAAAACAATGGCTGAAGCGTTTAAAGCATCGGCTGGTGCGGGTTCTTAAGGACAGCCTTGTCTCATCTTGGCAGGATCGAGCGACTGCCACCGCGATTTGCAGATTTCTTGGTGCTGCACACATTGGATCTGCAAGGCAATCCGATTGCCAATTCCCTGCCTCTTGGGCGAGAACCGTAACAGCCGAAGCCAGAACACACTTGCTTGCCCTGTTCCTGGACCTTGACTAGTTAAGTAGCTGAACGGTGACGGTGAGGCAGCGCGGCAGCAAACACCCGGATTGGCTCAGCCTTTGGCTGCTGCAATGTGCGGGCGCTCTGCGGAGCTTGCCGGGCCTACAGGCACAATCTGGACAACAGCAGATTCCGCATGCTCAGTGCTTGACAGTCGCACTATGGCGCTGCACAAAACATGCGTCACACCTGTGTAGAGGCTAATCCTGTCACCCAGCCCGTCCGGCAGTCCCATGATTGGTGGTTCTTTTACGTTCTAAAGTGAAAGGGGAGTAGTGGAGTACAGAAGCAGCCCACAGGACTGCACGCCCAGCTTGCTGAATGATGGGACACTGGCCTTCGATGGGTGGCAGCTGCGCGGTGAGATGAGCTCCACGTTGACCCGACTACGCGGTATGAACTGCTTGAACGCGGCAGACAATCGGATTACACTGTTGCCGGAAGATCTGGGAAGCATGGCCGGCATTGACACCCTGCTTCTATCGCACAACGAGTTTCTGGGCTTACAGTGAACATTTTGGACACGTGACAAACGAGAGTGTCCGAGTGACAGAAGTTGTACCTATTCCTAGTTTCCATGAGCGGCGCCAGCGCCACTCGACGTAATCTTCACCAGCAAGACGGAACCCAATGCACCACAAGGCAGCAAGGCCAAGCGATGGAACCCGAATGCTAGCACCCTGCCTCAGCCAATGCCTGCACAGTCAAGCTCTGTTTCCTGTGACACTGCTACATTGCATCTCCACCTGTTTACCCCTTCGCCAAGTAATGCTTCCTTTTCTGCCACAGCCGCGGACTAGTTGGAGCCGATATACCAGAGTCAGTGCCAAACCTGTTCTGCATTCGTTGTCCGTCCCGCCCCCTGCTCATGTCTCCACCCGAAGCACATATCCCTACCCGGGACAACAGGATTCCCAACAGTAGACTGGCTGCTGGTTTAGATTCGCCTCAGGGTGGGCACAATCCTTGTCACGGGTGCCAGGCCACGTGTTCTTGTCGTGGTTACAACATGAACTCAAGCCGTGGTAATCGATTGCAAGGCGTGTGTGGGCGTATTCCACCTGTACACCCGAGCTTTCGCCGGAAGTTTGAGGTTGTCAAAGCTTCCCGACACGATTGGTGGTCTCAACAGCCTGCAGCTGTGCCCTGCCTTGACTAGACGGAAGGCGGACGGCTGAGTATATTCGAGAGCTCGTTTTGACTGTCGTACGGCAATAGGAAAGGAAATACGGGCTTGAAGCACGACCACGCACCGCTGCAAATGCAAGCAGCCGAAAACTGCAGCCTAAAGGATGGACGTGTCCGCCAACCAGCTGCTCGACCTCCCCGCAGGCTAGGTTTCCCCGTTTGCGTTAAGAAGTTTTGAACGTACGACGATGCTGAGGAAGTATTCGGCGTGTGTAGGCGGATTGTCCAGCTGAAGAGGCTTGATTCGGGCTCGTTAGTTCAATCGGACTTGGCTGAACGAAAGCCATCAGGCTTCATCTCCCTGAAAAGCTTGCGCAAGCTCGACTTGAGCAAGAATCGCCTCAGCGCACTACCTGCCACTGGGACTCGAGTGATGTGGGCCCTTGTCAATCTGCAGAGAGCCGCAGCACGCCCAGGATGGCTGGGGCCGACTTACAAGTCTGCAGCACACAGACTTGTCAATGAATCGATTGATCGCGCTTCCGACAGACTTCGGAGCCTTGGTTTGCAGTGCGGAATGGAGACCCGCGTGCAGTGCGAAGTTCGGGACAGAAGGGGTTGCCTTTACGTTACACCGTTCGGCATTGTGGGGCGAGCCGCTGGCTCAGAGTTGCGATTCGGTTCGAAGGCCCTAAGCCCTAAATTCAAACCCTAAACCCGCCTCGCCTGCATTGCCCGAGTTGCAAGAGTCTAAACCCGACCCAAGACCATGTGCCTCGCCTGGATTGTCCGAGTGTGAGCGTCGAAACCCTAAACCCCAAACCCTAAACTGGCCCTAAACCCTAGACCTCTCTTTCCCTTTCCTGGACCTGTGCTGCGGCAGGTTCTCATGCAAGTCTCTGGAATTCTAGAACAACCTCCATTCTCTGAGGTTAGGAACCTAAAAGATGCCCTGAACCCCAAATCCCAAGCCGAATCAACAAGGGAGGTCAATGTAAGAACGACGCCTGACAAGAATGACTGAGCGCAGTTTTTCAGGACAATTACCAGCCCTAAAATGGCTCAGAAGCTTGGCTGCACAAAACCTTTCATTTCTACATACCGTACGCACAAACGCGAACGTGAAACCTCACGAGTTCATAGAATATACACGCAGGTATTTGTGCGCTCGTGGCTGTCCCTGTGGGTGTCGGCGGTGTCCTTTTTCATAAAGTTTGCGTCATTCTACCAGTAGCTACGTAGTTGCATTCCGGTGGTTTTGTCTGTGGTAACTCTGTGCGATCACAGCCGCTGTTGCTGTGTAATATTGTGCAATGATAACATCGAAGAATCCAGGCGAATATCTTCTACCGTGAAGTAAACCGCCTGTTAATGTCTGGACGGTTGAAGAAGGCTGAAGACCATTGTACGTTGTTCGATGTTTGGGTTGCGGTATACTTGGCACCCCTGGTCCCCAGGTCGGCCTGGGAACTGGGATTTGAATGCAAGAAGGGTAGATGAAAGGGTCAACATGTAAATCGATGAATCTCGGAAAAGAAAATAAAACGCAAAGAAGAGCCATTGCGGGCGCGAATCGCGTTCAGAAGCGCGCCCGCACCCTCTGCACCTTCTGCACCCCCCCCCCCCCCCTCCGCCTCCCCACCGCGCCCTCCACACCTTCCGCACCCTGCGTGATGAGAAGATAAATATACATAAGGGTGGCTAAGGGTGGCGCGGGCCCAGAGGGCGCATGGCGCAGGCGGCACGCGGCCCATATCCGGCCACGCTTGATTGCATTTTCCTCAGGCTCTAGCTAAAGAGCTGCGGCCTCAAGATCTCCAAAGGTAGACTACAGGCTTATATAAGTTAGGTTGAGGGGTTCTCCTTTCGCGGAGTCATCGACTTCTCTTTGGACCAGCTTGTACTGCCTTGTCTTGCGGCTTGGTTGATTTCCATGTCCTGTTGTTAGGCAGTTTTACGTTGCCCCCTGATTCGTGAAGCGCTAATTCGAACGCGCCACGTGAGCCACTTGGTAACGCTTCGTGTGTTCAAGTGGCATGTGCCGCTTGACCACTTGAAAAAGTAGATAACACTACGACTTCGGGGGAGTGAGGGCCACTTGTGCATAGTTTAGAGTTTAGGGTTTAGCGTTTNNGTTTGGGTTTAGGGTTTAGGACCTTGCCGGGCGAGCTCCAATCAAGCCTGTGGAAAAAGGGTCTTAGAGGGGTCAGGGCTTAGGGTTTAGGAGGGTTGAAGTCTAGGGTTAGGGTTTAGGGTTTAGGGTCTAGGCGAGAGGTACTGGGAAAGGGCAGGAACCAGGGGTGGCGGTGGAGGCGTGTGTAGGGAGGAATAGATAGACTAGATAGATAGATAGATAGATAGATAGATAGGTGGACACAATGTTTGCTGCTTGCAGGGGGCCGACTATAATGTTGATCCCTGGCAACTGCCGATGCCCCAGCCCCACTGAGGCAAAGCCCACCTGCACCCCTTTCTCAAGCCTGGCAGAGAGATCGAGAGAGAGAGAGAGGGAGAGATGGCCCACCACAGCTCTGGCGTAGAAAGAGAGAGAGAGAGAGAGACTGAAGCAGGGGGGACACACTACGAAGGAGGACCCCCTCGAGAAGACCAACAGAGGAGCGACGACGCACGGCCTCCGGAGCTGACGCCCACGGAGCCCGAAGCCACGTGGGACGAGAACGCGAGCACAGTCCCGTGGCAAGTGGAGACGGGGCACCCGCGACCTGAAGAAGAAGACCTACTGAGAGACACCAGCCCTAGCCCCGCGAGCCAACAGAGCCACCGTAGGCGTAGACTCCTTAGCGCACTCGCTGACGACTGAGGCAGAGGGGTACCCACTAGTCTGAATACTCCACGGCTGCCTTTGTAAGGACATGTTTCAACTACCCCTGCCACAGCCTACCAGCTACGTGAAGCGCGGAGCACACAGCTAGTGAAGAAAGTTTGACGAGGTACACACTGCTGCTTTCTGCAGTGGAGCCTCCAGAGGAGGTACCCTAACAACGCCCTGAGGGAACGGCAAGGTGTGTTTCCAAACACTTAGTTTCGGCCCGGGCCTCAGTTTTCGTTCAGGTTGCAGTTCCCGGGGCACCCGCCCAACAGGGGCACACAGTTCTTTGCACAGCCGAGCCCATCCATTGAAAATGATGGATGGGGCAGCGCACTCGCGCGGGACGGGAGGGCTGCTCCCACCCCATGCCCTAAGCAAAGCAAAGAGAGAGAGAGAGAGAGAGAGAGAGAGAGGGAGAGAGGACTTAATCCTTCTCCCAGTGCTGTTCGCAACTTTCTTTCACGGTCCACTTTTGCCTTTCTGGTGCATGAGGATTTCACCTTTCGCTCCCCACATGTCGGGGGCGCTAACGCGCGCGGGTGAGGGGGGCTTGCCTCTCTTACCCCTAGCCCTGGCGAAAGAAAGAGAGAGAGATGCACAGGAAAGTTTCTTGTTCTTGACTCCGCTCACGTAGACATCATACCCTCAACTACTTGCTCCCCTGCCACCCCATAACACATGGGGGGCCACAAGGCCAGGGGGTTTGACACGCCCCCTACGCCCAATCAAAGAAAGATGGACAGGAATAATGTAAGACTCTGACGGCCCTGAGGCTTGGCTGGCAACGAGATTGTTGGCTTGCCGGTGAGCTTCAAGCAGCTACGACAGCTGACGGAGCTGCATTGCGAAGGCCTTTATGTCAAGCTCATCCTTGCTGTGATGCGGCAACGGCCTTGAGACCGCAGCGCGTCTCGATAGTCGCTTGTGTCGCCAGAATCTGACAGCCGCCCTTCCGGATGGTGTCAGGGCATCGGGCGGCAAGTGTCAACTAGATCGTGGCGAAGGGGCGAGCCCATTACAATGAGTGAATCAACTGCCTGCTTAGCATTGATCTGAATTTCAAAGTGTAAACCAGTGCTGCAAGCAAGCAAGTGGGAGCGATAGAGCGAAAGCGAGGAAGCCACAACATGCTGTTTTCGGTGTCTCGTGGGACCCATGCTGGTAGGAACCCCGCTCGCCTCGCTGCTGCTGCAGACGGCCACTTGACTTAGACTTGCCTGCCCAGACTACACATGAGAGTCCCACCGGCGTTGGATAAGGAGGAGGAGGAGAAGTAGTAGCAGGAGACTGCAGGAGCAGGACATGTTGCGGAGTTGCTGTGGAAGTCGCAGCTAGTCCTTGTCTTCGTTTCCTAGTACTGGTGGTGCCAGTGCGAGCAGCAGCGGCCGTAGCAGTATCAGCACACGTATCAGCAGCAGCAGCAGTAGCAGAAGCCGTCGTCGTGGTAGCAGTAGCAGTCGCAGTTACAGTCGTCACTGTGGTAGTCTTTGTCGTCGTGGTGGTGTTGGTGGGGGTGGTGGGAGTGGTGGTAGCAGTGCCTGGAGCTGCTGTAGGAGCACATGCTTGCAGCAGCAGCAGTGTGGTGCTCGCCGTGGTCGTCGTCGTCCTGTGGCGACGTCCATATTCGTTGCCACTGCCGTTTTCAGTAGTCAGTAGTCAGCAATGTCGCTGACGCATGCTAACACGCTGAGTTGCGAGACCTGATGCCCAGGGCGAAATGTTCGAGCAGCGAATACTTTGGGAGCTGAATCAATGGGGCAGGCTTGCCGCTGCCCCAGATATTTTGACATACATTTCTGTCGTGCTTTGTGCGACTCAGTGGAAAGTATCGAGGCCTTGATCCAATTGCAAATGCAGCAGCGAGGCCCGTCGGAGAAATTTCTACTACGAAAAGATTTATTCAAGACCCGGCTCATCGGGTCTTTTTTCGGATTTTCGCGAGGTCCGGTCCCGGATGGCCTTGTGCAGTGGAGATGGGTGCCAGCGACGCCTCCTGATCCACCTCCACAAACGAAAGCTGCTGCCGCCCACGGGTATGGACCAGGCACACCTAAGCTGACATAGGGCAGTTGCATCCCGTGTCCTCAGCGATGCACGAAGAACAGTGCTGAGAGTGCTAGGAGCAGCTCCGATGCCCCAGTCTCAGCGCAAGGATGGAAGCACTTCGGCTTGCAATCCTGCTAAGTCTTCTGAGAATCCCGTAACCTCCAATTGGTGACTTAGTGGCTGTCTTCTCCCCATAGCATTACTACCGGTCAGGCTGCTTACGAATACTAGAGACTATATTAGACTATATTTAATAACATTATATATATATATATATATATTATATCGTTTTCGCGGGAGCCCGGCTCTGGCCTGAAGGTGCGCGATCCGGTGGCATGGACGAGGCGGCAAAGGTGGCCACTCCGCTGCATTGCGTTTGCACCGTAACCCACTGCATGCCTGCAGTATTATCCTGTAGTCTTGCTGGACTTTCCCACTTCGCCATGCTTCGGCACAGTCACTGAACACTATACTGTAGTATAGTATAGTAGCTGATACCTTGCCTGACCCCGTTGAGCGCGAGTGCTAGCATAGTAGATGATAACAGCTTGGACAGACAGGTGCAAGGGCTGCGATCTCGCCTGGATTCTGCGGGAGACGAGCACGAGGCGCAACGACGCTTGCGTCAGATGCAGCCCAGCTCCAATGCTTTTATACGAAAAGTTATAGTAGGGCATAGAATAGAATGGTCGGTATAGTACAGTATAGGGTGCAGCAGCCTAGGGTTCAGCTTTAAGATTTTAGGGCATTTTACGGGGCTGCTCGAGTTTCGGCAGTGTCATAAGGAACCCAGGCGTCGCATTGGAGTTGGAAGCACGCCTCGTATGTGGCTGAGGTTTCGAGAGTGGCATCCGGACAAGCGCAGCGAGGTCGCGCCTGAGTGAAAGCCACACATTGCATGAGAAGCACGACTTGAAGAGGATGTTGGGTATCGTGCCAGCCATAGGGTCGAAGATTCTGAAGCCTTACAGGGAGTATTAGATATTCGGGGCAGGGCATGACCTTTGGAAAAACGCATCTGTCTTGATAGCTTCTGTCTCCCCGCCAGGCAGAGCAGCAGCTCGCCACCCGCGTGTTCCAGTGGCTACAAGATGTGAAATCGAACTATGCTCGCTGACCTTGGCAAGTACCGAAGCCTCGTCGGTGGCTGTGAGCAGTCCAAGCAGCTGGCGAGAAAAAAGGGTGTTGCTTGCACCACCAGAAACACGCAGTGTCAGGAATAGTATGATTGGTTCCACAGGTGCCTCTTGATCTTCAGCAGCCATAGCACATGCTTCAGCTGCAGCCCCATCAGCACAGCATCACAACCACAGGCATCACCATCCACACACCTTCCTCACCACCAGCACCGTCGGCATAACCTCGTTTGCCGTCATCAGTATAACAGACTTCACATCAGCACAACTGCTGCAGGAGAAAGCCTGGGCGGTGTTCGACAAGTGGTCTGCTGAAGGCCGCGCAGATGCTATGCAGCAGCTGGCCCCGGCTGTGCTGGCAAGGCGCAAGCTCCCAATGAAGTCATGTTGTAGGGCTAAGCAGGGTTCTCTCTACAGAGTTAATTCCAGATGGAACAAACAACCGGCTTCCCAAGCAATCAGCTTCCCAGGAAGTATCATCAGGATGAGCTGCAACAGCTCCCAGCAGAACCAAGCATCCGCAGACAGAAAAGCAGGTTGCACTTTACCCAAGTAATCACCTCGAAGTGATCAGTTTCACGGTGACCTACGGCGACTCGGTTGTGTTGCATGACTGCTTAAGATGTGCTTCAGGCCTTACTGCGAGCCTGGCAAGCTGGCATGGCCCGGCCCCTACTACCACTTCGCGTAAGTGTAGACGATGACAGACTTGCTGCAGCACAACAGCTAACTGTTTCCAGCCAGTTGCTGCAGGCTGGCAACCACTTGCATTTTGCAGCTTTGGCCAGCACAGTCTGCCGTAGTTCGGGAAGTAATGGCAGCAAGATGGACAGGAGGTGTTTGAGCAGAGACCAAGCAAGGCTTAATATGACACTAGGACTAATTCTTACTGTTACTCTGAATTATAACAGTACAATCATTATACGATTGTAGCTTTGATGTTGCTAGTACGAATAATACGAAGAATGATAAGAGCAATCATGGCAATTGGTATGAACATGATGAACAATAAGTGTCCAACCGAGGCTTCTTAGAGGAGCAGATGCGGAACAAGCGCTGGAGCCCGGGGCTTGGAAGTAGCCCGAAACCAGAGAGTGAACCGCAGCAGCGCCTCTTAGGCATGCTAGGCCCGGGGCTTCGGCAGTTATTCCGACACTGTATGAACATCTCATGGGTGAAGGCTCTGAGTTCTTTCATGCTGGCGTTGCTGCACTTTGGATTACTTGCCCCGGTCTTGTTGCCCGATGTGCGCTCGATTTCTGATGCCAATGACCCTCGCTCAGCTTGGCTACTAAATCGGACAGCTTACATGTACTACTTAACTACCACAGTATATTATGTGGTAAGTCCCAAGCGTGATTCCCGAAAGGGCCGGGATGCCTCGAGTGGCCACAGCACGGTGCAGAAACTTCCAGATGCAGAGACTCCTCGTCTCGCCTCAGGTGCGCCTCCTCTTTAGATGAGGACCTGCTGGGACAGATGACGGTGCCTCGGATCCAAGTTTGGCTGCAAATCCGGAGGATTCCTTGGAGGCTTTAGGGTTTAGGGTTTAGGGTTTAGCTCTTTTTGCTCTCAGAAACCTCCTGAGAGGTGCTCAGCTACGAGACGAAGCACAACACGCGCTTCCACCTGGTGCTGCGAAGCCCCTGGCCGGCCTTCCGAATGCTGGACCTGCTCGCAAGGCTCATACCGGAGACGCCGGGCCAGACTTGGGGGTTTCCGATTATTAGGGGTACCTTATTTTGGGGTCCTTATAGAGATCCTACTATTTAGGGTGCTATATTAGGATCCCCTATTTTCGGGATTTCAGTTACAAGGCGGCCCAAGAAGTTCTTTGCCCAGCCTTCGGGCTCAACTGAGGAAGGGCAGTACCCGTGCCTTGGAGGCACTTCTTGCACGGCCGACCAGACTTCCTCTTGCCTGTTCTGAGCTTTGGCACTCAGCTTTCGGATGTCGGGCTTCACCTCCAACCAAGAGACTTCAAGCACAGCTTCCAGCAAGCCAGTGACGCGATAGGGACGAAGTTGCTGCACTGCACCCCATGGGGCCCACGGTGGCTCGATCTGAGGCTTAGGGGCTTGCCGGAAGAACACCAAGTGGAACAGACCCTCGGATTGCTTCGGTCTCGCGGGATTAAAATGCATTAAAAATTCGGACAGCTTGAGGTGACCCAGACGTCTTCGATTGGCCGCAGTTCAAGAAGCTGCTCTCGGAAGCCGTGCTGAGCTCAATGTGCTATATGGAGCGCCACTACCCACTGCATGCTGCTGCTTGCAAGGTAGATGAACTGGTGTCCGATGAGTCTTTTTTCGATTTGAGGCGGTCCAACCACATCCGAAGCGAAACGCAGCAAGCATTGCGTAATTTCCAGGCCCTCGGATGGCCCTTTGTCCCAGCAGTACTCGGCGCGGTGGCAGCGGATCCACTCTTTGCCCGCGATGAAGGCCACTCGACGATGCATGAAGAGCTTGACCGTGACTAGGTCTTCAGGAAGTGCGAACAAAGCTACTCAAAATGTGGATTGCGGAGTTGATAAAGAGTCCAGAAGCTTCTGACTTCAGAGGAAGTAGTGTACTTCTCGCACGACGTCTTCGATGCATACCGGCAGCACCACTATAAAGCTGGCTGCCATTTGGGAGTTATCTCCTGCTATATACTTCAGATCTTCGTGGTGCTGCTTCGCGACATTGAAGGTCGGCTGCACAAGCAAGTGGCTAGTGTCGCACAGCTGGTGAACATTTACGGGCCGGTGCAGCAAACTGCCAAGACTGATTGGCCCGTGTTTCGGCTTCTACACTTTGCTAGCTTGCTGCAGCGAGCTCATCCGCACGATATTTGGAGGGGGAACCAGGACAATGAACACGCGGCTGCAAGAGATGCTGCTAAGTCCTTGGTGGCAGAAGTTGACGCAGTCACTGAGACCAAGTTTGCATCGGGAGGCGAGGCTGCGCCGATCGCTTTTTTGACATCAGCTTGGGGGTGGATGTCGAAGATTTTGGATTCTTGAGATGAGATTGGTTTATGCAGGATTTGTTGGTCTAGTTTAGTTGGGTATATTACCCTTTGGTGGCTTAGGGCTCGTGCCATGTTTCGTTCAGGCTGTCCTGGAACTAAGGATGCGGTGTTAAAGCGCTGGCAAGTGGTGTCCAAGACATCCCCCTTGCTGGTTCTTTGCCGGGATCATTTAGCATTAAGGAACTGCAAGACTTCGCAGAAGTTTAATGACCCGCGGCCAATGGTTCAGTGCATCGATGCTCCTCAACGTTTGGGCGTTGAGACCATGGTCGCAAAGTACATAGCCATGGCCTCCATAGCGAGGTCGGGCATGCACGCTGTATGGCTTGACTTGGATGTGTTCATAGTTGCCGACCCTGGTCCCTTTGTGACGTCTGAATTGGCCGGACAGCCATCTGCCAGCCTTCTCTTTTCGCGGCACATGCTGTCGGAGTCTGTGACTCCCGCAGTGGTGATAGCCCGGCCGAATGAGGAAGCAGTTTCTCTGCTCATGGGGTTTGCGAGCTGGCTGCGTGAAAACCCCTACCTACTGGACCACAAAGCATGGGACCAATTCTTAACCAACAACAAGGGGGACTTTGCTGGCGTGTTTGATTACAAGGGCCGGAACACCACGGGACATGAGACCGAAGGCCCAACGCACACCTTTCTGCCAAGGGTTGGCCTAGCTTCAATTAACAGCAACTGGAGCTTCATCAAGAGTGGCTTTTCAAGTGGAGATGGTTGGCGTGGCCGGGAGGAAGATGTGGTGCTGTTCCATTTCTGGGGTGCTGAGGAATCTCCCGAGGAACTCTTCCGGATTTTCTATAGCAAGAAGACTCTCCTGTCTCCAGCCTTGGACTCCAATGCTGCGAAGATTCTGCAGAAGTATCGGCGAGAACCTGTCTCAGCGCCGCTGGTGTCGGTATTGCTGAAGAACGAGCCCCTGTACTTGGTGGCCATCAGCTATGCGCATGGTTGTTGTCCAAAGTCGCTGCAGCGCAATAGAGAGCACGCGCTCAAAGCTGGAGTGGACGCAGCAAGATCCTACGGGAAGCAACACCTGGGTCCAGACTGGTTGGCTGCAAACCACCAAGTCCTGTCGCAGAAGAGGGGGGCTGGGTGGTGGCTTTGGAAGCCCTATGTCATCCTGAAAACCTTGAAGGACGACTTGTTCTTGCGTGACCCACTGATTATGCTCCGGGCACCCTGTGTTTGCTCGCACAGGATCCAACGATTCCTTGGGACAAAGGTGTGGTTTTGTGGGTGGATGCGGGAAATTACTTGTGCCACGGCTGCATCCAGGAAAAAAAGACATGTACATGATCCAGAGAAATGCCGGTTTCTTGGTCCCTGGACTGAGGCATGCAGACCCAAGGCCCTTTCTGGCCTCAGCCTTGGAGGCCCCCGGTCCCGGTTTGCCTCGAGCTTCCGAAAAAAAATGGCCGCTGAAGGAGTCAGACGTCGTGGCCCTGCGCCTGAAGCAGTGCCTGGAAGTGGACTGGACAAGCAAGCTGACACTGGAGCAAATGCAGCTCGGGCAGAGTAGGCTTCGTCCCCACAGAAACTGCCGCCCTGCAAATTAGATCAAAGGCATACCCAAATGCACGGTCTGTGTGCTATCCTTAGGAACATGTCTTCGAGGCTCGATTCTGTGCTGAAAAAGCGAGAGCACGACCCTAGTCCGAGCGTCACCTGCAAGCTGAAACTGGATGGAGGTACGCTTTGATCGATCGGCCTCAACTTGGCGCCTACTTCCTTGCATTCCGAAAGACCAAGGCACGACTCCTGAGATGCCCAGCAAAGGCAGCGCAGTAAAATGAAGTTCAGGCCGTCCTCTCCTTCGTTGAGCAGTGGCTGAAACTCTCGGAGGTTCGGCTCACTAGCACCCTAGGTGTCTGAGAAGCGAAGTCGGCAATGAAGGTTTGCTTGTTCTGCTTTTGAGGATCCTGATATTCTCATGGGCCTGGCTGTGCGCAACTTGAACTCTCACGGAGGAAGTTCTCAGCTTGCGCTAGTTGCTGTCGGAGATGAAATGGCTTGCAGGAACTGGAACCTTGACCAGCGATGTTCTGGATGACGAGGCCTCTTCCACATCTTCGAATATCCACGACACTCTGCGACGGAAGACGTTTGCAGGTGCCGAGCTTCATGACACACCAAGCGGATCAAAGTATCTTCTCGCTGCTCTTCAAGAGATGCTTGGCCGCCAAATATCGAGCTCATTCAGCAGAATTCACAGCTCGACCCAAGACGCCCTACTGGCAAGGACACGGTTATAGAGCCAGTTCTCTGGAGGCAGGTCACACGCCCGAGCCCCGGATGACAAGTGCAAAGATTTGCACTGAATTCGACAGCTCCACGCCAGGGTGGTCACATTGGATCGCTGGCGCGAGTGACATGGGCATGCACAGCAAGCCGAGACAAAAAGAGCTTTGGCAGGTGCTCCATTCGTCAGCCTGCCCCTGCTTTGCAGCAGAAGTCTTCTTTGATACCCATGAAGTTCGGAAACCAGGTCGAATCGAAAATCAGATGTCGAAGCAGCTTTGCCGATGCTGAGTCGCTTGGGTGCACTTGCAAGCTCCATCTTGCACAACATTCAAGCGCAGGTGGGATAACACTGAGATCTCAAACTGAAGTTGTAAGGCTCTGGCTATCTACCTCAGCTTGACATAGGAGCACAACCTTTAGGCCAACTCCAGCTTCATGCAAGATATTCTGATATTCTGCTTGCACAACCTGCTTTTGGCTTGATCGGCATTGCACACAGTGCATCGCGGAAAGTTGCAGCAAAGGCATGCTGCGGACACTGCGGTGAAGCAGGGAGCCTCGCCTCAGCAGGCACGCTTTGCATTGCAAGGGTGGTGGTAGGCTTCAGAACGACTAGAATCTAGAAGCATCCATGGTGCGGGCGGGCGGAAAAGAGGTGATAAAGAAAAGAAGCATCGATGGACTTGTGACGACTTGAGTTGTTCACATGTTTGATGACAGGTTGGCTGGTCTGTGGCGACGAAGGCTACCTCCTGCATGTGGTTCTTGTTTGGATTTCCGGCATTGGCTGAGTCATTGCATCTGATCTAGTATCTAGGGATTTCGAGGAGGATGCAACTGCAAGTGCCATCCCTTCATGTGCAGAAGTTGAAGTGGGTTGAGGGCTTAAGTTGTAGTATGTCGTCCAGGAATAGTCAAACTGCGGCCCTAGAACACATCTTAGGTCATCTATGTACCCAGACCTGTTAAGAGCTTGAAGTCAGCCTCTCCAGGGTGCCATCGGCGCTGCAGCAGCTGCGTGCGAAGCTTATGCTTAAGCGACGAAAAGCGAATTTTGGAGGACGTGCGCATCCCGCTCATCCGAGCTTACAGTCCTGCCGAGTGCACGTTTCAGGTCCTTTCTGCTGAATTCTCATGGTCCAAACAGAGAGAGCATGACCTTCGGCGCCCGCTGGGGATGAATAGAGGGCCGTGACGCTCGCTGATGCTGAGGCGTGCTGTCTCGCAGTCTTCAGCTCGAAAGGAGGCCTGACCCATCCAAGTGCATCATCAGCCTTGGCCAGATCTCGGGAAGCTAGGGATGGGCAGACAGTTTGAATGTTTAAGTTTAGTGTTATGGTTGACATGAGCTGGCATCCAAGAAGCGGCGCTGTTGGAGGAGGTTCCAAGGCCTATGGAGAGATGTTCAAGAAGTGTTCAAGCTTACGAAGCTGCTTTCGCCAAAGGCAGGTTGAAGCTGTAAGCTGCAATTTGGTGATAGATTTAGGGTTCCCTTTCAGAGTTTCAAAAGGACCTCTTTGATAGGTCTTCGGAAAAAGCTAGATGGACCCCTCTGCCGGGCTTGCTTGCGAAGGCCTTCAGGAGTGTGGGACCGCTGTCGGCTTTATCCGAAGGTGTCCTGTCAACTTCTTGTCAGTTTGTGCCTCCTGTGTATCCATGCAGCAGGGCGCCAGTGTCCCATTTGCTGATCCGCTCCCCTTCTTTATGGATAAAGGGCTTCCGTGTGAATCAGTTTTCATGCCCTCATGCTCTAGTGTAGTTAGACCGGCCGTCGTGAAGCCAACTCGAGCGAGTTTCGAAACCATTATGATTATGATTTGTGCAGGCTGCGCAAACAGATCCGTTCTGGTGCCAGGTGGCTCGGGAGGTTGCACTGCAAGCTTTTCGAGCAGCACAGGCCGCAGGAGTGTCGTGCGCCCGGCCGCATGAACAAAGCGAGGCGTAGGGACAAGGAGCTGTGGTACATGCATGCATGCAGTGCCATATGTAGGTATGGTGGCTTCGAGGGCTCATCTTGCATGTAAGTTTCAGAATACTCCGCTAAAGCCCAAGCGATCCTAGGATTTGCTTCCGCTGCGGGGACTCAGGTCCACATACGTGGCTGCCAAGGCAGCAGCAAAGGAGGCCTCGAAGGCTGCGGCCCGCCCAGACTCATCGCACGAGTAAGATCATCAGTTTGAGTAGCTGTTCGCAAGGAGAAAGTTATCCTTTCAGAAATTCGGAAGATAGACAGGCCCCAACACCGTCTCGGACTGTGGAAGTTGAAATAAGAGTTTCACCTGGTGCGTGCCACATGGCATGGAAGCTGAGATTATTTGATCCATAGCCGCGTCAAGGATTCCCCGCGCTAAGGTGGCATTCGCTGCTGCACTGCAAGGTTCGTGGAGAGTCGCCTGTCAAGAGAGTGAATGTGGTTGTAGTGTGCCGCTTCATAGATGACCGGCACACGGGCAGGCGAAATGCCAGCCAACGTGGGTCAACCTGCCATGGTTTGCTGCACATTACCTATCCCAATACACTGGCCAGCACTGACCAAAGAAATCTGCTGCATGCACGCATGCATGCATGCAAGTGGGAATGCATGCATGCATGTATGCATGCTTGTCTGTATCAGAAAAAGGCCCCATTTATGTAGGTAGGTAGGTAGGTAGGTAGGTAGGTCGGTCGGTCGGTCGGTCGGTCGGTAGGTAGGTAGGTAGGTATGTACCAGGACGTATACATATGTACATGCATCGGTGCACAGACATACATGCCATGCATGCATGCACACCTCTAAACATACCTACGTACTTGCATACAAGCATACTTACAGAGTTACATACCTTACATGCATACATGCATTCGTACATGCATGCATACATACATACACACATATACGTACATAGGTACATACGAACGTACGTACGTATGTACTGCCATAACATGACAGGACAAGGCATGCCATGACAAGGCACGCATCCAAAGCATTACCCGCATTCGAAACATTGCACACATACACATACGTAAACGCAGAAAGTAAGATGGCTAGACAGACAGATAGACAGGTAGGTAGGTCTCCAGAAAAATACGTTACTAGATCGGCTGCCCTGTGTGCCGACTCGAAGGTGCCTCGGCAAAGCGAGTCACATCCTGGCTGGCCGATCTTGCGGAAACGGAACAGGTGCACAGATGGTGATGCTAGCAGTGGACGAACTGCTAGCAGTGGACTATGCCAGAGTCGCCCTTGTCAGGTCAAGTATGCGCTGGATGCAGCTCAGGAGGCTGAGATCTCAACTGCATCGCGTCCGGCAGACCCGGCAGACTGAGCGCAGACTAGAACCCTGGCAATGCTTGCTCAAGGCCGTTGAGCAAGTGCTCCTCCTTGCCGAAGAGTCCGAGGTGCCATTAGGAAAGCGGCTTGTAGCAGGGCGAAAGCCTTCAAACAACGAAGTCAGCCACCCTGTTATAATGTACGATAGTATGCTAGAACATGCCACACTAAACTGTCATGTGTGTATATACTAATACACACACACATATATATATATATATTTAAAATTAGATAAATACATATAAATTTAAATATATATATATATATGTATGTATACATATTGCCTCCAGGAAGCTGTCGTCGAGGCCAAGCGCGCAGCTGCACGGTCCTCGCGGAAGACTTCAGCTGAGCCGTTGAAACCTTGAAGCCGTGGTCACTAAGCCTTAAGGCCAATGGTGTAGTCGTCCGGCCTTCAGTTTCAAGTCACTTCGTGGATAGGGAAATCAGCCGACAAGCCGTGCCATCTGTAATAGCAACTGTGCCTGAGGACGCATCTGCAGCTGTCGGTCTGGAGCGCATCGAGGAAGCTTTGCGAAGAAGTTTCAGTACCCAGGGTTCTGCTGTCGAGAAATGCGATGAAGGAAGCAATACTGCAGCTCGGGCATTTCCTGAGGACTGGATCAACCCCGGAGCCCACATCGACTTCTTCAAAGGCGGCTGTCACCTCTTCGATGAAAGCCTTGCACTCACGGCTTCTACTTGTGTAGGTATCGTATCTGATCGTAATTGAGTCATGCCCGCATGTCTCTTGTGTCTATTTCCGCGTCTGTCTCTTTTGTCTATTTCCGCATCTATCTCTCAGGAAGGTCTCTCTGTGCTGATGCTGAGCACAGTGAGCACATGATTGATTGAGCGAGCGAGCGAGTTAGTGCAGGTGGCCTCCGTGCTGCAGAGGCACAAAGCATGGCAGAGTGTCAGCTCCTGGGGGTTCTTCTGGGTTGAGGAGTGCTACCACAGATTCATTAGTTGGCGATGTGCGTCGTTGCACCTGCATTCTCTACCGTTCTTGCACCTTGTCCCCAGCAGCGTAGTGATCCGTCGTGGGTGGAGAGGCTTTATCGCAGCTGGCAGACTTTCGATCTCGCCAGTCCGAGGCCTGAGAAGGGCGAGTCAGCCACCAGCCCAACATAGAAATCAGACTCGTTTCACGAACCTCGCAAAGGCAATGCGTTGCGCGCTCTTTTGCTGAGATGGCTTTGCTTACCATAGAGGTGTCAATGTAGGTCGCGGCGCTTAGGCCCGCCATGGGCAGTGACTCCGATAGCGACTTGGCTGTCCAAAGGCCACCGAAGCATGCTCAACGCAAGCCCGCTGATGGTTCTGACAGTGACTTGGCTGTGCAGCGGCCGCCCAAGCAGAAGGAGAGCAAGCCGAGCAAGCCTGTCGACGCAGGTTCCGACAGTGACTTGGCTGTAGCAAGACCCTCCAAGCAGAAGAAGGTCAAACCGGTTGATGCGGGCTCCGATAGCGACTTGGCCGTCCAAAGACCCTCCAAGCACAAGAAGGTCAAACCGGTTGATGCGGGCTCCGATAGCGACTTGGCCGTCCAAAGACCCTCCAAGCACAAGAAGGTCAAAGCGGTTGATGCGGGCTCCGATAGCGACTTGGCTATCACAAGACCTACCAAGCACAAGAGCAAGCCGGCCGATGCAGGCTCAGACAGCGACCTGGCCGTCGACAGACCAGCCAAGCGCAGGAAGAGCAAGATACCCGATATGGCCGTCCAGAAGCACACCAAGCACAAGAAGAGCAAGCAGACAGATCCCGGCTCGGACAGCGACCTGGCCGTCGACAGACCAGCCACGCACAGGAAGAGCAAGATACCCGACATGGCCGTCCAGAAACAAACGAAGGACGAGAAGAGCAAGTTCACAGATCCGATCTTAGACAGGGACTTGGCCGTCGACCCCAAAGGGAAAGGGAAGGGAAAAGGGAAGGAGGATGGAAACTTCTTTGGGCAGCACAACTTTGAGCCCAAAGGGAAAGGGAAGGGAAAAGGGAAGGAGGATGGAAACGAACAGCCCAAAGAGCAACCCAATTTTGAGCCCTCTGGCCTGCTGGCACTGGAGGATAATGCCAAGAACGGAATTCCCTTAAAGTTCACGGTGCCGGCAGAGGTCCGGCTACCAAGAACGAAGTGGCGACTCTACATTTTCACCAAAGCCAACGAGGCGCCAAAGATCATTCCGATCCACAAAGAGGTGGGCTACCTCTTTGGCAAGGACCGGCGTGTGGCGGAAGTGCCAACTGACCATCCCACTTGCAGCAAACAGCATGCAGTCCTGCACTACAGACAGACAAAGAGCGGCTTGGTGAAGCCATACATCATGGATCTGGAGAGTGTGAACGGGACATTTGTGAATGGAGATCGAATAGAAGCATCGCGCTATTATGAGCTGAAGGAGAAGGACGTCCTGAAGTTTGGCATGAGCACCCGAGAATTCGTGCTGTTGCACGGCGGCTCTGCAAACCATATGTCCATCGATCCTAAAGATTTGAGGTCACCTTCCGAAGGCTAACAAAGGGTTGGCTTCAGCTGGCCTCGGACGTTTCACTCCGCGCGTGTGTCGGTGATGACAGGCTCTGCGTGAGAAACAGCTTGCTCCCTTTTATCGCTGTCCGTGGGCTCGCCCTCTGCTGTTTTCACTCCTCCGGAAGCGCACATGGTGACAAGTCCCGAAATGCCTTCGCAGGGCTATGCTGCATTCGCGAGAGCTGCGGAAGCTCGCATAGCAACGGCAAGAGCAGCGGCCGAATCCGCTCTGCCTGCATCTCTTCCAGGCACACACTTTACAAGAGCCTTGTCCGTGGGCGTTTCATGGCCTTGGGTTGTCAATGTGAATAGAGGGGTCCGTGCACTAGACCAAAGCAGGCGGACAACCTCCTGCAGATGCCGCAGAACGAGTGCGAGCATCGCCTGCGGACACTGTGCGCGCCGCTAGACAGGTCCCTTCGGCCAGCAAGGGTGCAGTCAAGAGATGCTAGGAGATCCTTTGCCTTTGCTGCATGAGTGCACTCGATGAGACGCTGACGTCGTAGCTTCGTTGTTGAGATTTGGGCTCAAGGCATGCGCTCGGTGCAATGTCCGTGGTGGGAGACAACTCGCTGTTAGAGGAACCACATGCTGAGCCCAGTGTGCAGGAGACCAAGCAGCCAGTCCCTGCTGAAGCCGATGCACCAAAGTCGACCCCAGACGAGGCGCAGCCAGAGAAAGCAGCCGAGGTAGAGACAAAGGATGACGTCGAGCAGTTCTCTGGACTGCCCATAGTCAACCGAACAGTCCCGGCAGACAAGTGGGCCAATGAAGTCCGGAGGCCCAACAGACGGTACGTCTCCTTCTCGCATATCCCCTTGTACTTCGGCTCTGACAGAACCAAGCTGAGGGTGAAGGAAAACATCATCATCGGAGTTCTCTACTACAATTCTGCCAAGGATACTCAAAGGCTGGCAACTGGCGAGCAGTATCTGCGGTGGCGGTTGACTGACCTCTCACAGCAATCCCGGCAGATTGTACTGCAGCTGCGTTGGGGGGCTTACTTGCATTGGCGACAGGGGAAGCCTGCAACTATGGCCCGAAGAGGATCCATTTTTGCCATTCTGAACCCCGTCTTGGTTGAGATTGTGGAGAGCCACCCGGGTGGTCCCAAGGAGGCAGTCATGAGAGTTGAGAAAGGCCTACAAGTAGAGAAGCTGGGGGACTGCCCAGCCCTGGGATCCTGCAAAAAGCAGGGCTGCAGAAATCCTTGCGATCTCCGAGAACGTCAAAGCCATTGCCGGATGCACAAGAATATCGCATATGCCGAGAAGAGCGTTCCTCGCATCAACGGTGGGGGTGGAGTGGATGCCCGAACGACTGCCTTGTTGAAGAATCAGCAAAAAAAGTCCAGTCAGAAGGTTGCGCGAGCTTTGAAAGCGGCCCGGTTAGAGTTCAATCCAGGAGCAGAGGCCAAAGAGCTCGAAGACAAAGCACAGAATGAGAAGTTAACAAAGATGGAGCTCACCAAATCCATTTGTGAACGGCTCTTGGACAACGATGCGGATGCGAACGAGAACTACGTAAGATGCATCCGCAATGACACCAAACTCGAAGACTGCAGCTCGTCCCGGGTTCCCAAACTGGGACGTGGCCTAAGCAGCTCGAGCACTTTGGAAGTCACCGTCGCTCCGAACAAGCGACGAATCGAGGATTGTGATGAGCTTGAGGTCTTCTGAGGTCTTCTGATTCTGTCCCTATGATATGTTTCACCATGCTGACGCAAGGGGGATTGCGGGAAGCCCGGGGTGCAAAAGCCTGCGAGGTGGCTGCGATTCACTGTCTGATATCTCGTCTCCGGTGTCCCATCCTAGTCGGCCTCATCGCTTGTGCCAAGGCCGCAATTGCCCACGGCGTGCACCAAGCTGCAGCTGCAAATCTTGCAGCTGTGTTTGCTGCACGAGCCGTGATATATCAGGCGGTGTGAGCATTGAAGAAATTTGCATGGTCTCTTGTGCTGTTCACTTTCGAAGGACATCCTGAACAAGAAGACGCCAGCAGCCACGGGAGCTGGTGTGAAGGCCCCACCGCCCGTGATGTCTTCCCTTGTCCCGCGCGAACTTGAGCCAGCCGTTCCATTCTGTCCCAAAGCACCGCGAGTCTTTCACCAGCTTCCGCGAGTTTCTTTCAGTTGATGCGGTCGGAGGCCGTGGCAGACACTGCAGGCCAGCCTGTTAGCTGCTAGCCCTTCAAAGGGTTTAGGGTTTAGATATTTGTAGATGTTTTGCTGGATCCCTTGTGGATCGACGTACTGCTTCCCCAGCTCCCAGACATCACACGCAGTGCTTGGGACGATTGGGGTGTAGTTGTAACCTTCACTGTGTTTCCTGAGTTGTGGCGTAGTCACTTACTCGGTTTGCTGGGCTCTTGTGTAAGCTCACACGTTTCTTGCCTATGGATGCACGAGTTATCGCTGTGGCGGGCAGCTTGGAGGCACTTCAGAGAGACCTCGTTCAAAAGGGTTTAGATATTCAGGGTGACACTCGTGTCGATTCACGTCCTGATTTGTACGAGGTGTCGGCCCGCAGACCAAGCTCAAGCTACAGGAGCGGAATCAATCAAAAGGCATAGCGCATGACAGTGCATGGATGTGACTGGCGGTGCAGAATCCCACCTCATGCTCTGCAGAACTGCACAGTACGTCGAGGAGGATTTGGCGGCCTCTGTCGCGCAGCATGCGGCCGATGCTGGCTTCCCACCAGCGAAGGCCCCCCGATGTGTGTGACCATTGCTGTCTTGCTGTCACGGTCAACAAGCTGCTTGGCAGAGGTTGGGGCAGAGGTGTGGAAAGCGCTCGCAGCGGTCTACCGCTTATCTTTAGGGAGTTGGGCTGTCCAGCGGCTTCAGTGCAGATGAGACGATGACCATTCGTCGGATGCTTCTTCATCTCATGCTTCGCCCATGAGTCGATCGCCCTTCAAGTGGTCATCAGAATCATCCGAGACGTCGGGTTCAGTTACACACTCAAATGGCTCAAGCTACGTGCGCAGTAGTGCCCGTGAGCGGCCCGACCTTTGGATGGGAAGCGCAAGTGCGCCCATGGCGAAGCCTACCCACTGTTTCGAGTTTCAGATCAATGGGCAGAAGTATTCCTTCGACACGGTGAAGAGTGACGTAGAGAAGCACTCTCTACCACCCTACCAGGGCTTCATGGTCATCCCAGGTCCGGTGACCGTACCCCTTCAAGAACAGGACGAGGTATGCGACTTCACAATCTACCAAGTGGACAAGCCAGATGAAAAAAAGGTCTTCTCCTCTTTGAAACCCACCGAGTTGCTGCGGAAGCTCAATACACCACACAAGGCCGGAACCAGGCCATCCGGCGAGACCTACGAGGAGTGGTCCGACTGGGAGAAGACGTCGCGAACCAGCATTCAGTTCACGGCCTTCGACATCAGCGCGCGAGATGTGCCTGGCAGCAGCTTCTTCATGAGGTGATTGAGATTTAGTCGAACCCATGTCTTGCTGTACTGAATCCGAAAGTACAGCTCCTGTACCCGAAACCCTTAACCCGAAAACGTCTCCTCTTTCTCGAAGTTCTTTGCCAACTTGGAGCTGCAATTGTACAGCATGCTGGCGACAGTGGGAAAAAGACTGGAGGCCTTGCCTGGAGATGCCTGGGCACCAGAGATGCTGCAGGACACATGTTAAGTCAAGTGAAGTCATGTTGAATTGGTCTAGAAAGAGATGGATACCCGGAGACATTGCGTGGTTTGCATCCAACCCGCTGGGCGCGTGGACATACAGTAGCCGTGATGGCTGTTGTGCAACTTGTACCCGCAATTAGGAGCGGAGTCAGCTGATTGTCGACTCACTTACCCTGCATCGTAGTTTCGCCCCAGCCAGGCGGAAGGAAACGAATTACGCACCTCACTCATTGTAGACGGGCCCCGAACTTTATGCAGCCGCCCCCCGTCATGTCCTTGATTGCTTCCGTGTAATGGACGCGGACTCCTTCCGCCAGTGCATCGCGCTGATCTCATCACCTTCGCTCCTGCCTGAGCAACGACGAGCTTTGGAGGCGAGTGCCCCTTTCATGGCTTAGGAAAAGTTTAGGGATTTGGGCCGCTGGGGTCTATGTCATTTTGGTGAGGTTGGGTCTTGGGAGTTAGGAGCTAAGTATGTGGTGGACCACGCCACAGTGTGGTATAGTACTGGGCCAGTTCTGAAGAAGGTCTTCAATCAATCATACACCAGTTGATCAGGATTTCGAGATTCTGACTGGGCTCACAAGACAGCCTGACGGTCAAGGATCGGACAATTGCAGCCTTGTCGGTTGACATGTTCACATCGTGCGGCCACAGGCGCCACAAGCAGAAGCGTTGTTAAAGTCATGCCGGGTGGCACACATCATGATCGCGCAAGAAAATGTCAGCGAATGTTAGTTAGTGCCTTCTGTAATTCTAGACATTTGGTTCAAGACACGCAAGTCTTTGCCGCATGTTCTCCAAAGAAGACCCTTTGCAGGCATCGCTGCTTCAGCTTCGGCGATCTCCTGGTGCTGTTGACGCAGCGCCCTCGGTGTGTTCTTCGCATCCGAGAAATCAAGCTACAAGTAGTGCTGCTAGACGGACTCGGAGTTGTCATCGTGCACACAACCTGTGATGCGGCCTGCAGAACTATGCACAAAAATCATGCCGGTCCAAGGTATGCTCGCAAGTGCTGTTGGGAAGCGATGCTTGTGTCTCCTACCACGCTGCCAACACCTTGAAGTATGCTGTGCCCAAGGCTCAGCCCAGCTGTTGCCGTTGTTGTGCGTTCGGTTTCGCTAGCCAACTAGCCTTGCTCTTGTCCTTCCAGCCGCACTGTACATCCTAAGAGATTCGTTGGGGCTGAGATCCCGAGTCATGGTCTTCACCCAAGGCTCTTCAGCTGGCCTTACCTGTCGGAAGCGCTCCGCGAGAAGGTGGCAGCTAGTGATTCAAAACGGGCGCCAGAGAAATCATAATTTAGCCGTGTTATGCTGCACCGACATCTCGTGGCTGAGCCGGTGCATTTACCAGCATGCTCCACGCAGCTGTTGTCTTCGGCAAACTTCTGTTTGTTCGAAAGTAGATATTCTTGACTGAACACCTCCACCAACAGCCTGTCTGCAAGGCCGTGCATGCCTGGCTCTCGGCCCTGTCACAACCGAAGCACTTGCGGCTTGGCCGACACAAGATGTGGCTGATAGCGTTCTCCGTGGGGTGCTGAGATTCTGTGCGTTCATGAGTCATGAGGTCGGCTTCGGACTGGCGACCCGTTAAGAACGAAGCACTGGAAGCCATCGCATTGTACTTCAAGCTACTTTGCCTGCAAGGATTGTTGTTCCTGGATGCCCCCCAAGACACAGAAAACATGTGCATGGGGCATAAGGAAGATCTACATCGAATCTAACGAGTTACCAAGCGGTCCGCACTTCTCCTTGGACGTGGCGGCTGCTTTCTTGTCGGTGCTGCAGGCCGTGAGTTGTCGATCTGAGAATGTCGGCCACCATCTGCAGATTTCACCTGAACCCTAAATCAAACCTTGGGCAAAGCAAAACCTAAACCCCAAGCCCTGAACCCTGAACCCTAAACCATAATGTAGGGGCCAAAATAAGTACCTATATGCTATTTTGGGGGGATCCCTATTATACTTATAGTACAATGTACCCCAAAACCCTATTCTAATATATTCTAATCATGAAGGCCCCTAAACCATAGCTCGTCCCGGCAGGATGGGAGGAACCTAAGTTCTGGCCTCGGTGAAGAAGGGTGCAAAATCGTCGCAGCTCTTGCAATTCGATTAAAGTGGCTCTCTCAGAAACGCGCATATGTAGCGTACCAGTACTCCGTATTAAGGCCTCCTGGCTGCCTCGGTGGAGGCACAGCAAAAGGCACAGCGGCGATTTGCCCGCTTTGCATTGCTTCCCTTGCTTCGGGCGGCCGCCGCAGAGGCAGAAGTGTTGAACAATCACCCTTTATTGTTTAGGGTTTAAGGGGCTACGCAGCTCCACGGTTTGGTGGCCCGGGGGCCCCCAAATGGGGACCCAGTGGATGTACGGGGCGAGCGAACGTTCCAGATGCGTCTGCGGCTCTTGCTTTGCCGCTCGCCTTCCCAATTGGCCCAGCCATCAGCTACGACTCAAGCTGCCCTTGAGGTGCACTGGGATTGCTTGATTGCTTGCGCGAACTGCGAGTTTTCAGAGAAGTCCACCGACTGGCAAGCGGCCTGCGCAGAGGCCTGGTCTACGGAGTTCAAGCACAGAGCAAGCTCTTGCTGTGCATCGATTCGCTTGCAGGTGGCGCTGGCAGTTTCAGCACGCGGAGACTGGGATTTGGCACTCCAGATCGCAGCGCAGTGCCCGACACTGCCGGCACGAGCCTCAGAACCCTCAGCAGGACTCGGCAAAGTAAGATTAATGCTGAAGTCGCAGCACTGATCAGCGAGAGGCTATCTGGAATCTGGTCGTGGACGCAGCCTCCTCCAGGCAGTGAGCTTTTGTGTTTTCATCGGCAGTTGCAGCACACCTGCATCAAATCTTCGGCTCTGCTAATCTGATCTCTGGATGCATCATGAGAACCGGTAGTTGGGAACAGGGTTCGTCGGCAAGTCGTCGGAAGAAGACATTCGTTGAGTGAGATGTCGCAGTTTGCGAAGATCAGACCAGAGCTGGCTGCCTGCTCCTTGTTGGGAGGCCTGCAAACATATCTGCGGCTGCGAGCTGTGCTTCGCGATTGCTTACAGACCCATCTCCGGGCCAGAGATCAAGCTTGGCAAGGACACTGTTTCTTCATCTTGCATTCGGTCCTTGTAGCACCGTGTTAAGACCCAGCTCTTCGTCGGGTCTCGGGCTATTTAGCGTAGGAGGTGTGATGGAAAGCAGCACAAAAAGAGCTCTAAAGCTGCGCTGTCGTGTGGAAGTTTTGAGGATTGCGGCCGGATTGATGCAGGCCCAGGGTCAGGGCCTGCAGCGGAACTGCATCTTCGTTGAGGGTGGTTTGAGTCGTTACCATTTGGGCTGTGGTGCTTTCCCCTGGGTAGGTGGACTTCAACAGCGAGGAGGGGTTGTCGAGTTATGACAGCTTGGTCGCCTTCCTGCAGGTTCTGAGTCGACAGAAGCAGGATTCGGAGCTTGCAGATTATTTGGTAGAAAACTTCTTCCAGCATATACTCCTGCAAGCGAATTTGCCAGATGCATATGATGAGACTTTGGGTACTTCTGCCGGTACGAGTTCCGGTCATGACCTGCTGACATTGATTGCCAGAATCGGCCGAGATTGTCATAACATTACCGCTGGTCTTCAGCAACTTCTTTCGCGGCCGCTGGACAATGAGTTCGCCATGGACGTCCGGCATGTGTCCTTGTGCTTTGCATCCGAGCTCCTGGAGGTTAGCGATGAAGCTCTGTGCTTAGCTGCGGCAGTCAGCACTCAGACAAATGGTCTGAGTTCGCCACTACTGGTCGCTGACAGCCTGCGGTTTTTCCAAAGGGTATGCGCGCGAGGCGTACTGTTTAGTGACAAGGCGCAGATTTTCAAGGTTGCGCTCGGTCTTCTGAATGCAGAAGTGGTTTTGGAGGGGCTGGCAGTTCTGACTGAAGTGTCAAAATCTGCCGACTCGCGAGTGTTATTTGCGGCACACTTTCAAGAAGTGTGGTCAAACCCTCAGATGCCGCTAAGTTTGGTGAACGGCTTCTGTCGATGCATGCGCAACTGCGCAGCTGTGGCCGAATTGGTCGCCTTGGCAGGTCCGCTGCGACAGGATGTGTTGAAGCAGTTGGCTGAGTGGGATCCCAGATATGTTAACGGGCACCAGCTAGCGCTGACAGAACGTCGATTTGGCGCTTTGGGCGGACTGGCTCCCTTGGGAAATGAGTTTGAGCAGCCGATCATCCAGGCACTGCAGACCAGGCTGTGTGGGCAATATCCAGAACACCTGCTGCCGTGTGCTGCACCTTTACTAGCTGCTCTTGCTAAGAGCGGCAGCGAGTGCGGATTGCGCCTGGCTGACAGCGTATGCGTGGCAATGGCAGCTCTCCCAGCCGAAAGTGAGCTGCAAGAGCACACGCTGGACTTGTGTGAAGTTCTATTAGAAGCTCCAGCAACTTGTGTGAGCGAAGCTTTGGTTGTCCTGTGGACCAAATGCTGCGACTGTCACATCCGGCGCTGCTTCGAATTGATGAGCAAGGCCCCGCTGACTCAAAGGTCCTTCGAGTGTTTGTCTGTCGGACTTGGCCATCCAGATGGACATATCCAGCAGCTGGCTGTGCGCGCTCTCACAGACAGACCCTTTCAGGGAGATGTCTCAGACATGTTGCCACGTGTCCTGCAGATTGCGGTCTATCAGGATGGACCCCTTCTTGAACGTCTGGCTGATTTGTTTCTGGTCTATACAACTGCTTCTGCATTGATGGCAGCAGCCAGTAAGCTTGTGGCGGCTCTGCTGCATCCCTCCACGACCAGCCCTGTCTCTTGAGTCGGCAGGCCACACTCACACTGTTGAGACTCAGGTGGGAATAACCGACCATATCTTGAGGGCGATGGTGCTGCAGAGCTTGGAGAAGCTAAGCACCCAGCCCCTCGGACATGCCTATAGTCGAGCATCTTTGGGAGGACAGCGTGAAGACCGCCAGCCATATAATGTAAAATAATCTCATATCATATGATATGATACAACATAGCATGGTTTAGTGCAACTCAGTATACTGTATTATAGTCATACTAGAATCATCTAGCTGGGAGTTGGGAACCTGCTAGTTCTTACTCGCCTCTCCTAGGTCCTGGACTCGTCCTGACCCACAGGGCTAGTGAAGGTCACGCTACAAAAACGAAGGGTGTTAACAAGAGTTGACTAGCATCACAGGAACACAAGTTTCCAAAAAGCAAGCAAGAAGTGGAGGCGCCATGACCCACAAAAAGGTACAAAGCTACTCTGACCTAGAGCTTCAAAGGTCGCCCCCTAGGCTCTAGGAGTGGGAGGGGTCCATCGCTCTGAGGCACGAGGATCCCAAAGCACACTTCTTGCGGTTCGTCGCGGAGATGAGGGCTCTGACACTGTAGCGCACCTGCGTAGGAAAAGGAGAAGCTGCATACTTGCACTGTCTTAGTCTTGCACTTGCCTGCCTGCAGCTCTTCGGGCGAAGACCTAGCACTGGTTGAGGCAAGCGCAACGCAGAAAGCAGTGCTGATGGGAGCGAGAGAGGCTGCAGAGGCAGTTGCGGACAGGGCTGCCAGGCGCTTCGCAGTAAAGCTGGAGTGGTTTCAGCCACCAGACGATGAAAGATGATGAAAGGTCCGGGAAGCCTCCCAAAGAAGTGGCACTGGCGGCCAGGCCAGAACCTTCGCAATATGTGATGGCCTTGCGCAACCTCGGCCTTGCCAAGGGAAGCCACAGTAACCGCAGGGCTCACGAAGGAGAGCCTGATGGTACAGACAGACGCCCGCTCAGCCTGTCCCGAACTCTCCCTCCACATATCCAGTTCGTTCAGGGCCTTATCGAGCTTGGAGTCGTACTTAGGTCGGCTCCGCCGCAACACGTGCAGTCGCTGCCGAGATGGCTCGCAAGCAGGTAAGACGAGGGCTTAAGCTTCGGGGAACTTAAGCTTCGGGGCTTTAGGAAATTCAGGGTTCAGGGTTTGGCAATTTGGGGTGCTTAGGAACCACATCACGTGGAAGTGAAGAAGCTTCATTGATCTGTGCATGCGGAGGCTGGATGGCACGAAATCGCAGCTGCAGTTGCCGGCAGCTTATGGCCGTAAGTCCGATTGGATGCAACGGCAGAGAGAAAGAGCGAGAAAGAGAGAGAGAGAGAGAGACAGAGAGAGAACCTTGTTGGGGTAGGCCCTCGGGCCAGGGCTCCTTACAAGTAGGGGGCTCATACCCCTCGCAAGCAAGCAAGCAAGAGTTCCCCGAAACCCTGCACTTCCCTACAAAGCCGACCCGTGTCTAGCAAATGAGCCCAAAGAAACATGCCATAACTATAGCACAGCGCCTCCGCAACTCTACCATACCCCTACTCCCCCTAAACTCTATAATCTATAAAAGCTGTCCCTAGCATTTTCCTTGACTGACGCTCGGCGGCTCTGAACAGGTCGAGGCCGCCCAGGAGTCCTTGCTCCCAGCGGCCGGGGGCCCCTGTTGTTTTGGGGCCTGAGTGGTTTCTTTAAAACCCCTAAGCCCCTATATAACCCCAAGGTCCCGGACCCCTAAGCCCCTATATAAACCCAAGGGTCCCTTCAAGGGGTCCCTTGAGCCTTTGGTCTTTTGGGGTACTTGCGCGCCTTCCCCCGACCTGCTCAGGAGTTCGTGCCGCGCCTGGCGGCCACAGCAGCTGCAGAGCAGGCTGCGAAGGCTCCCTGAAGTCACATTTTAAGTGAACATCATATAGGGGCCTAAATAAGATTAAATAAGTACCAATACTAGTTTGGGAATTTTTGTATAATACCAATACTATTACCAATACTATTCTCGGGGTTCCTTATTGTAATTGTAGTATAATATGTTCTACATTATTGGCCTTGCTGCCGGCTTGGCTTTGCATTCGGGGCGGAGCTTTTCCGATTCCGGTGTCGTCGGTGTTGCATGGCGCATCCTAGGACCCTGAAACAGCATCATAAATGGTATAATTCGTTAATGTATTATTACGTACTGTTATTATTACGATGTGCCCATAGGCCTCATGAACCGGCCAGGCCGCAGCGAGGCAAAGCAAATCCGGACACGAGGCACACGTTGGGTTGCCCATGAGCGACTGGTGGCACGCTCCCTTCTCTTCTTGTCGAGGTCGAAGCCCGCATCCCGTGCAATGTTGCTTCAGAGGTGATAGGTCCCTTCGGCTTGTGAGGTGGGACTCGCTGCAGCTGCAGCCACTCAAGCGTGTGGGGACAGCATCTCAGACTGGCTACTCGTGCGGGTGCGATCAAAACGAATTGCTGCCTCCCACCCTGGAGGATTTGCAGTCAGGGCTTTGGGGTGTGACATAGAGGGCAGGAGCAGGAAACATGGGGAAGGAGGGGCCGTTTCCAAAACCAAGGGAGTGCAAGCCACTGCGGCGATGGCCGAGGTTCCGACAACCTTGGCGGGCGTGGCCTTCTCAGAACCACCTTGAGCTAGTACAGCCAGTGACTATGGAGTCCCGTTTGCAGGACGTGGCTGGGAGAGCCATCGCTTCGGCGCTCCTGCCTGCTCCCTGGTCCGAGCATGCGTGTTTGTTGGTTGGATTCCGACAGTCATAACATATGTATATCTATATATATATATATGTGTGTGTGTGTGTGTGTGACTTACGCATGTATATATATATATATATACACCTGTATCTATATATACATACCTATCGATCTATCTATCTACTTTTCTGTGCAGACAGATAGGTATATAGATATATAGACAGCAGAGATATCTGAGGCAGAGCGGCTCTGGCCTGGCCACCATGGAGGATGCAGGGATCCTCGAGGGTTCAGGGTTGGCCAGGCGAGCCCCAATCAAGCCTGTGTATTAGTACTCGTAGGAGTATTACTGTTACTACAAAAAGTAATACCAGTCTGAATTTTAGGGTTCCGACTTGACATGGTCTGTGCCGCCGCCAGCGACTCAAGACAAAGCAGCCACGGCCGCGGCCCGTTTTCATAATTTTAAGATCAACAGCATTTATTGCAATCACCATGATCATCCTCGTCATAGTATGGTAGCAACAGCTGTACCAAGAGCAACGATTTTGCATCATGGTCATAGTCAAACTACTAGAATCAATATTAGTGATGCCAATGGGAGTAGCAGCAACTAAAACTAATGGCAATGGTCACCCTTAGTAGTAGTATGCTTATTGTTAGATGGACAAGTACATTATTTCTACGAATACGAACACTAACACTGAATATAAGATGAACCAATACATTATTAAATGGAAGCTATCATAAAAGCACTCACAAAAATAACAGTATGGATAAGCAGAACAACAAGAGTGTTTCAAGTTGCTCTGTCTGGTTTGGCCAGACATGCAGTCGCCACACTATACCGCTATACCAAACGGCCGAACTCAGAAAAGCTGGAAGTCCGGACTGACCGTTTATGTATATATATATATATATATAACTATCTATCTAATTTATCTATATATATATATATACATATATTAGGACCAGATTAGGACGAAACAACAGAACTAGGGCTTGTCGCAATGTGAACCGCGCCCGTGCCGCACGAGATGAGCGCGCAGCAAGACGGAGCGGTGCACCTGACGTGGGTATGGATTTAGGGTTTAGGGTTTAGGGTATCGGGTTTAGGGTTTAAGGTTTAGGGTTTAGGGTTTAGGTGGATTGTTTTGGGCTCGGCGATTAGCGAAGACAATGCAATCCCCATGACCCCACCTCATGCATCCGTCAGTGTATATTCCCGAAGCCTAATCAATCGAGGGGTTGTTCGGCTCGGGTACACGATCTCTGAAGATGTCAAGCATGACATACCTTCTGCAGCCACTTGTGGCATATTGGTCCCTTGACTGCCCGCAAAGCTCGACTTGACGCGGCAGGAGAGGCGACTCCGCAAGAACATCCTTTTGTTTGGAGAGGCCCATTCGCTTCCCTCAACCCTAAACCCTAATCAACTCTCAGTACCCTGCATTGCGGGCTTGTCCTAGCTCGGTGGGAGGCAAAAACCCAGAGAACCCAATACCCCTTAATTAAGGAATATACCTTAAATCATAATATTAAGGCCCCTATAATTTAAGGTATATTCCTTAATTAAGGATATTAAGGTGTATTGGGTTCTCTGGGAACTCAACTCTCCTCCTCCGTGCGCCTTTCCTTTGTCCTCAGATCGGGAGCGGCCGATGCCAAGACGAGTCCTGGACCGACTCCTGAGGAGATGGGGGAAGAAGAGTAGAGGGTTTAGGGTTTAGGGTTTAGGGGTTAGAGGACGGGGAAGAAGAAAAAGGGTCATTCAAGATCGTTTCTTATTGCAAGGCTATAGGGCTTAATCATAGCATTGGTACAGTAGGGCTTAATTTATAGCATTGCTAGGGCTAGATTACGGTTTAGGCTCTAGGTTTCTTGCTTTTCCTTTTGTGCTATGGGAAAGGAACGAAGCTGGCGCAGGCCGCCTGCAGCGTCACGAGTCATGCTGGAAATGCTTCATGCCACTTGCCGGCATGTCTACTAAGCAGTCCGATGCCTTTTGCCTCCGGTCGGCTGGCCTCAAGCTCTCAAACCCCCCTCTGTTGCAGGATCTCTGACCGAGGCGATGCTTTTGCCTGACTCCGAGCCGGGAAGTCCACTTCGAAGCAGCGCAGGCGAGAACTGCAAGCACAGTGCTTCCCCCTACAGCATCCACTGTGCAAAGGCTCAGCATGCGGCGGTCGTTCAGTCCCTCGCGCTAATAACAGCTGAGCAGCCTGGAAAAATTGGTCTCTGTTCACGAAGGGGGCTACTGCGTAGTTGGTGTAATTGCCGCAAGTTAACGGAACTATAACCAACTGAGATTGAGAGAACAGCTTCAGTCATCATCGGAAAGATTTGCTTCGAGCTCGGCCTCTCAGAACCTCAGGCCTCTGGCACCAGCACATAGACAGGGAGAGAATGCGAAAACTGTAGATCCGGAGCCACCGCGCTCCGTATTCGGCTTCCCCGGGATGCTTGGCACCAGCTCTGGCGGAAGCGCTATACTCACAATATCTAAGAGTCATAGGAGAGACAGTAGTAGTCAATCTCCAGTTCTACCAGGCAGCATCCCTTGCGATCTTCTAAACCTGCTCGAACAAAAGTGAGGTACTCACATGGCTCACCCAGCTTCGCCACCTGGACTGCCGGCTTAAAAGCCTTGCTGACGCAGGCACAGGAGGAGGAGTGCCCTTCCCCAGCCTGCTCCCTGAGTGCATGGCTAGATGGCTACTGTAGGGAAAGCGGCCGCAGGAAGATGCTGAGTTCGACCGCCTCGCCCCGCCTGCATGCGAATGGCTGGCACCCAAGAGGAGTGGACGGTACAAAAGCGCTGCAGAAGAGAAGTCTGTGACATGAGGCCAGCCTTGAACAATGTTGTGAAGCTGGGAGTCACGCCGCCCGGGCCTTTATCTCGAGAACTGGCCGTACAGAATCGTGCACGCAGACGTAGGGAAAGCCCGGTACAAGAAATGCGGAGTCTCTGTTTCGATCCAGGCCTGAAGGGAAGAGCGAGGTGAGTGATGGTCTCCTCTTGGACGTGGCACGTTTATCTGCTCATGCGGCAGCTGATCTCAACAGTATTTGCAGCCTCGTCGTCCCATCTTCTCGTTGTACTTTCAGTCTATCCAAGGCTCGCTTTGCATTGGCCGCCTACTCCAACAGGCTCCCGTTGCCCTCGGCCCAGCTAAGCATCACTTGTGCGCCGGTTCAAGAGCCCGCCAGGCTCTACGGGCTAGTTGCGCCTGGGGCAGCTTGTTTGACACTGGCCTGCTGCATATCTGAACGTCGAGCTTTTGTGCGCATGAGCGGGATCAGTGACGACGACGTGCTGCTTGCCGAAACGGTGGCTCGTCCATTTAAACCTGTTTGGTGGATCTGTCATGACCGTGCGACCTCCGCGATCATGGTCGCCATTCGCGGCACTTTCAGCATGTCAGATGTGCTTTCTGACGTGCTGGCCACACAAGTGCTGTACAAGGAGCATGTGATACACGAGGGCGTGCTAGCAAGTGCACGCTGGGTATACAGCAAAGTGGCCCCAGTTCTGCGCAGAGAGTCGGAAGGAGGGAAGATTGTCATCACAGGTCACAGCTTGGGCGGGGCGGTTGCGGCATTGCTGGCGTGGTTGCTTCGTGAGGATGCCGGCTTGCCAGCGCGAGCAATTGTCTTCGGCGTGCCACAGGTCACTGACGAAGCGCTTGCCCGGAAGATGGCGAGGTTCGTTACCGGCATCATCCATGCGAGGGACATTATCCCAATGCTGTCGCAAAAGTCTGTGGAAGACCTACGCCACCAGGTGGCAGAGGCCGCGCAGACGCCTGAAGAAAAATTGCTGGAGCTGCAAGCGGTGCTCGCGAATTTCCATCTCCCGACCGAGCCGGCGTTATTGCAAGATGCTCTCTCGCAGCGGCACTTTCAGGCGTCTTGGTCGGCACAGCGGCATGGGATCTAGCTGGGTGTTGTCAATGGTGCAAGCGCCAACACGTCCAAGCCGAAGCTGAGGCAAAACTCCCCTTGACCCGGCGGACCCAAATTCCTGCCGCTAAGGCTCCAAGCCCTCGACGTCATACAAGCACTTCCACTTCTACGACAGTGTACGAAGATGCTCCTAGTGACGTTGCAGAGCTGCCTGCGATTCCGATGCACAATCCAGGAGATGTCACCAGTACCGATGTTCAGCGTTCGCTTCTGTTCGCTTCACAATTCTCCGCTGACGATGTCGCCGTTGCAGGATGGCAGCTGCACTTAAGAAGACGTGCGCTTGGGGCACGAAGCCGCGAGTTCAAGCCCATCCTGTGGAGAAGTTCGACGCTGGGAAGTTGAAGTAGATACTAATCCCACTGCAGTGGCTGTGCGCGTAAAGGGCTCCGCATGCTGTGCTGACTCACGACTGAGCATGCCGAATCGCGAAGGATGGAGGACTTCCTGATCACCGTCTCTACGCCCACAACAGCTTCTATGCAACGAGTTCGCCCGGTCACTAGCGACATGCCTGCAAGCTGCAACTGTGAGAGTCGGAACCGTCAGGTCCGGCTTGGACTATGTGGCAGGATCATTGGCCGCAGGCCTTGCAGTGGTTTGCCCACTAGCCCCCGGTTTCCGCAACCTTAGCACTCGAAATCTCCCAAGCGATAGAAAGAGCAGAGGTTTCGGTCAGTCAGATCGTGAGGATGGGGTGGAGCAAAAGAAGCCCCACTCAGCCTCTGAATGAGTAGAGATGCACCTGGTAAGGGTGCCATCTGCCGTGGTGTAGCCATGTAGAGGGAGGCCTGAAGATTCGTAAGTGACACAAAGGCTCGAGAGTTTGGTAGCCTTCCTTAACGCAGGGTCCGCACCACCTAAAGCTAAGCAGCCGCACCGCAACTCATCTCTCAGTATGGCATGTTGTGCTGAACATACAAAGCTCTAGCCACAAAATCTTGAGGCAAAGTTGAGAAAGAGTGCTTTTGCTTATCCACCCGCCATGGAGCTTCGGCTTTTCTTTCTGTTGGCTGGCTTTTGGAGAGCTTCCGCTTGGTGCCGGCCCAGGGCAGGCAGCTGCGAGGGCAACCTGCAGGAGCGGAAGCACACCGAGCTCCTCCATCGAGGCCATGGCGCTATGAATGAGCTATGGGCATTCCCACAGGCAGTGGATTGGGATGGCGATGGCCACAGCGAGCTAATCCTTCTCCAGTGGGATGAGGGAGGCAATTCTTGGGATGATCCGGGAGAGAAGAGACACTGCTTTGTCAGGTACTTCAGGCAAGAGGAATGGCAGCTAAATGAGCAACTCGGGGAAGAGAATCCTTTCAGAGATCTTCGGTTTCAGATGAATTCCACGAATGTAGAGCCAGCCTTCTCAGTTGTTGACTGGGATGGAGATGGCGACCTTGACTGGATACTACGGGACGACGAGGGTTTGTGGTTTTTGGAGTTCTCTGCTGGCACCATTCGCAGCAAGTCTCCAATCCGGCTCTTTGACAATCTCGGCCAGCCGATACCAGGAGGTGTGCTGGCAGCACACGACTGGGCGATGCAGCCTTTCGCTGCTGTGGATTGGGATCAAGATGGCGACGTGGATCTGTTCATCAGCGATCCAAAACAATCCTGGCCACTTGAGATCCTTTACTTTGAGCGGGCCAATGAATCTGCCTTGGTGCAAGCCAGAAGTCCTCTGGCTGGTTTCGATGCTGATTCCGTGAAAAGCATGGTTGTTGCAGATTTTGACGGTGATGGAGCAAAGGATGTGCTGTTCAGCAGCTACGAAAATTATATGTGCGAGCCTCCTATGCTCGGCTTCCTGCATGGTACCGAGGATAGGAACTTCGAGGACTGGACTCAGAATGGTCGTGCGAACCCCTTTTGGGGGGTCGAAGGTGGCGGATATGAAAACTGCACCGACTTCAGCGGCGCTGCCTTGGCAGTGGCGGACGGAAACCAGGACGGGTTGTTGGAGCTGCTCGTGGCCACCAGTTCACGCATTTTCCGGTTCTCATGGCACTTTACCAAGCAGCTGGTGGAAAGAACAAACGACTACACTCTCTTCCATATCAACAGAAGGATGGCGCATCCTGCTGTTGCAGATTGGGATGGGGATGGGCTCACGGACTTGATCCTCGGGTCGAAGTATGGCCGTGTCGAGGTTTTTCCACGCCAAGAGGACGGCAGCTTAGGTGACGCGGAACCCGTTCTTGAGCTTAAGGATGCTTCCACTGCCCGGCCCGTTGTCCTTGATTTCAACAGCGACGGTCTCAATGATCTCATGGTTCCCAGGGCTACATGGGACGGAAGCGAGCTCATCTATTTCGAACGCCAGCTGAACGGAAGCTTGGAGGAGAAGTTCCGGCTCAAACCTAATTGGGGAATTTGCTTTGCAGCAGCGGCTGCAGACTGGAGCCAGGATGGGCATTTGGATGTTCTTCTGCCCTGTAGCAACGATACTGAATCTTCACACTTGGTCTGGCAGTTCTTTGAGCAGCTTCCTAACGGCTCCTTCCAGGATCGCCCAGCGCCCCTAGCTGATTTGGATGATATCTCCATTGGCTTGTCTTACGTGTATGTGCAGGCTATCGACGTGAATTCGGATGGGACAGCGGACCTGCTGATGAGGGACGGCCCGGCATGGCGCCTGTTTCTATCACAGCCAGATGGACAGTTGATAGAAGTGAATGCGAGTGAATCTTTGCATCTTGTCAGCGAGTTGCCAGAGCTGGGTGTCGGAGAGACTTTCGTCCTAGCAGATTGGGACTCGGATGGCGATGTGGACCTGCTGACGGCTGCAGGGCACAGGGATGGCGGTGATATTCGTCACTTTGACAACGGCTACTGCCGACTAGATCAAGCCTGCACCGGCAGGGGGGCCTGTGGCCACAGCTCGGGCAAGTGCACGTGCTTTGTAGGGCACTCCCTGTCGGATTGCTCCGAATGCAGCAAGGGATACTTTGATCCACTGCAGGTCCATGTTGCATTCCCAGCAAGAGAGCTGATCCGAAAGTGTTTGGCTTGTCCGGGCGTGCCTGGCGCCATGCCATGCTCTGGCCGTGGTTTCTGCAATGACGATGCATCAACGAGAGATAAACACAGCAAGAATGGAACCCGTTCGACTGTCCATGGGGACGGCACTTGCAATTGCTTAGCCCCCTTCTCTGGCGAGAGGTGTGAGCGCGGCCTGTGTCTTCCAGGCCACAAGTATGTGCAGGATTCCATCCTATGGTGTGAGCCCTGCCAGCCAGGGTCTTTTGTTGACAAGCATAGTCTTCAGCGTTACTGCAAGAGCTGTCCGGGAAACAGCTATGCGAGTGCTCCTGGCAGCGCTCGATGCCTCCCCTGTCAAGCCTTCTGGTGGAGGATGTCCGTGACAGCAGACAAGACCAGCTGCTATGTGTCCTTCATGAATGTATGCGCCTTTACCATCATCCTCTTGCTGTCATTCATGTTCTTTGCCATACTCTCGCACTTGGCATGCTGTTCCATGCCCGTTGAGGATGTGCAGCTGAAGGATGGCATCCTCTGCCTTTCCACCCGTGGACGTCATTGGCTACTACGGCCTGCAAGAGTTGCTTTCAAAGACACAGGGCATCCTCTCCTCGATGACAATCCCTACCTGGTCGAGGTGCAGAGCGACCGCGAACTCATTGTGTGTGACTCGCAAGGTGTTGCGCTGTCGCTCTCAGCGGATGCGTCCCAGGGCACATGCCACATCCACCGCCTAGACAGCTTGTGGCGACGGGGAGTCGTTGGAGTTCCTTTCCTCCTGTGTTTGGGGCTGCTTGGCATCCTCTTTGCAACCGCCTTCTTCCTCCTGGGCGCCGTAGCCTTCGATGCAGTCATGGCCCTGGCAGGTCTCGCCCTCGCCGCCGTGGTTCACAGGTGGACTCATCCGACCGCTTGCGATCTCTGTCGAGATCGATGCCTCTTTGCTGCACGGCTGCGTTTCACCCGCACTCGAACGCAAGGAGGGTGTTCCTCCCAACCTCAGGCTTGTCCCAAAGGCCCAGAGAGGGGACTTGCAATGGGCAAGATTCAAGAGCTCTACGATTTCTTCAGTGCCTACATTGGTCTTCACCGGAACATGTACTATCTCTGCAGCAACATCGTGAAGCCCCTGACTGCCACAGACCAGCTGTCCTACGCAGAGTTGGCAGGGCCCTGCGCGGTGTCATTCTTCGTCAGTCACTACTGGGGCATGCCATTTCAGCACTTCCTGGAGTGCTTGAAGGGACATGCTGAGGATCGGACAACCAGCTACTGGATCTGCACCTTCGCGAACAACCAGTGGAAGGTGGCCGAAGAGTTGGGCAAGGACGTCCTTTGCTCACCCTTCTACCTGGCGTTGCGGAGCCATTCCTGTCAGGGCACCTTGGTCGTGCTCGACGAGGAGGTGCTGCCCTTGACCAGGTCCTGGTGCCTCTTTGAGCTCTTCCAGACCGAGATGCTCAGCAGAGAGCGTGGCGGTTTCCAGGGCCTTCTGCTTGGGACCTCCACGGGTGTCATGAACTACGGCCAGAGCAGCATCGACCTGGCTCTGAAGATCAGCAAGAAGCTTTCCACTTTGCGTCTCCAGGATGCCCAGGCCAGCTGCCCCAAGGACAAGCTGATGATTGATGAAGCGGTGGCGAACCACCCGGGGGGCTTCGAAGCTGTGAATTCCTTCCTCATTGGCTCGGTGCAGGCGGCCCTGTATCAGACGGAAGCACGCTTCCGAGACTGGGTTGTCTTTTGGGATCCTTTTAAATTTCCCCTACTATTTTGTAGAGAACCATAATAGTAAATAATTTTCAAAAGGGCTTAAAGGACAACTTAGGAGAGGATTTTGCTCGGCTGCACCAGGACCTCGGACACACTGCGGCCTTGGCTCCGGAAGATGTCGGCCAAGCGGCTCAGCCGAACCCGACACTGCTGACCAGCCACGGAATGCAGGGCAAGGTTTAGGGTTTAGGGTTTAGGGTTTAGGGTTTAGGGTTTAGGGTCGGGGAGACTGTCAAGGTGTAGGCAGCTTGTTCTGGTGATCGTTTTTGCTTTTTACCATAGTATAGTAATGAAGCAATGAACATCGATACCAAGCGGGTCCAGAAGCTAGAACGAAACCCATACCTGCACTCAAGTTGTAGGTAGTTAAACTCTGATAAAAGTTTGTTTGGATGGCAAGAGCCGTGTGGTTTGCCTTGGCTTCTTCTTGCACAGTGACGAGCATTGAAGGTCAAGGTGGTCAAGGTGCCACCTTGCACAGAGATCGTGCAGTATGCTGCTAGATTTACAGTCTTAGACAATTTAGACAGGCACCGCGTGTGCCCGATTAGTTAGATGCTACGGTCTTTCTTGCACAGGGCAAGAAGTGAATTCAGAGCGAATTGCTTGCTAGGTTTTCGGATTGTCCCCCAGCATCTTGTTGGTGAAGGAATCGAAGATGACATCTAGCAGCTGTACAGGTGAGGCTCAGGTTAAGCGCGTGCAATGTGCATGCCTGCCCGTGCATGGATGTATTCTGGTCTAGACTTTGCTGAGTCACAGCTGCGAAAAATGCGAGTGACAGTGTTCAAGGCCATCGCGTTGACATGGCTCCGGTCTTCTCTCATCGCACTAGGTTCACCGGTAATGCTGTTGTGTGGTTTTGGGGCTAACTGGTGAAGGGAGCACTGCTAAGAAGGGCTTCCACTTCAGCGGAAGATCATTTGCTATTTAGTTCATGCCTTGGCTCGAAGTCTACGACTGGGAAGACGAAAGAGTCTGCTACGGAACCTCTCACATACGTTGTCGGGTCGTCCTAGCCAGGCCGGAGGCTAAAAAGAAGCCCCATGTGGCCCATAATCATGACAAGAAACTGGGGAAACCTGTTGAGGAGTGCTTGGAATGGCCGTTCGGATGTGGTGGAAAGTCTTGAACGACAGCGCATTCTAAGCAGAAGCATCTTGCCGTCAGGCCTACCTCTATGCATGCGAGGCCATCTCTGGACGTGCGAGCTCATCTATTCTTTTTGCGAGCTTTCAGTGTCGTGCGAATGCTTCAGTGCTTTCTGCGAAAACAAGCTGCCTGGGAAAGTCCCGATGCCATCAGCCAAGAAAGAGTTCCAACGAGAGTACGCAGGCTCTGGCTGAACGCCTTGCTGCCTCTTCGGCTGCATTGCGAGTGCAGGGTTTCTGCCTTGCCATGGCTTTTGGGGAGCTTGGCGCCCGAATCCCGACGGACATATTCAGGCGGTCGAGCCCTCAATCAGCAACCTGGGTTTACCGCAAGCTGCACGGGTGCAGGCTGGCACTGCCATGGGAAACATAAGTGGTAGGTCGTCCATGTGTTGAAATGTGCCTGTTCTAGAGAGGCCGGCGGTGCGCGCGCTGGGTGCGATTTGCGACAGGTGCCAGATTGGTGTTTGCATCCAAGTGGTGTCCTTGCCCTGATTCGCTTTGCACAGGCTCTGTGCCGAGTCGAAAGCTACTTTGAGCCTTCAGCATCGCTGTGACTCGAAAAAGGGAAGCATCGCCGACTACTCTACGCGGAGTTTCATTTTCGAGTTGAGTAGACGCCTTGCACCCTGACCCTGCCGCCGCCTTGCCAGATTTAAAACAAAGGCTGCACACATAAAGCAACATGATCTGCAGCGGCATCTGTTTAGGGATCCGATTTAGGATTCATGGTTTGAAGTTTCCCATGTAGGTTTAATCACAGGCGAAAGGACATGGCAAAGCTCCATGAGCCTCCCGCGGAATGCAAGGAGTCACTCGCCGCCCTTCGCGGCCGCAGGGCTGCATCAGCTTCCATGATCCGCAGACGGAGCGAAACGAGCTGGACTAGAGAGATGGGGAGACGGACGGATGAGCATATATATATATATATAT